ATTTGAATGCAGTTTTATAGAGAATTGCGGCAGAAACATTTAGAGGTATGCCACGTCAAAATCCGATTAATATAAGTTGAGTTATGGAGTTTAGAACTTCAGCCTTGGGGCATTTCTTAATGTTTATGAATTTCCACATCAGAAAAATTACAAAAAAATTTAAAAAAAATAAATTTCAAAATTTGAATGTAGTTTTATAGAGAATTGCGGCAGAAACATTTAGAGGTATGCCACGTCAAAATCCGATTAATATAAGTTGAGTTATGGAGTTTAGAACTTCAGCCTTGGGGCATTTCTTAATGTTTATGAATTTCCACATCAGAAAAATTACAAAAAAATTGAAAAAAAAATAAATTTCAAAATTTGAATGCAGTTTTATAGAGAATTGCGGCAGAAACATTTAGAGGTATGCCACGTCAAAATCCGATTAATAAAAGTTCAGTTATGGAGTTTAGAACTTCAGCCTTGGGGCATTTCTTAATGTTTATGAATTTCCACATCAGAAAAATTACAAAAAAATTGAAAAAAAAATAAATTTCAAAATTTGAATGCAGTTTTATAGAGAATTGCGGCAGAAACATTTAGAGGTATGCCACTTCAAAATCCGATTAAGATAAGTTGAGTTATGGAGTTTAGAACTTCAGCCTTGGGGCATTTCTTAATGTTTATGAATTTCCACATCAGAAAAATTACAAAAAAATTGAAAAAAAAATAAATTTCAAAATTTGAATGCAGTTTTATAGAGAATTGCGGCAGAAACATTTAGAGGTATGCCACGTCAAAATCCGATTAATAAAAGTTCAGTTATGGAGTTTAGAACTTCAGCCTTGGGGCATTTCTTAATGTTTATGAATTTCCACATCAGAAAAATTACAAAAAAATTGAAAAAAAAATAAATTTCAAAATTTGAATGCAGTTTTATAGAGAATTGCGGCAGAAACATTTAGAGGTATGCCACTTCAAAATCCGATTAAGATAAGTTGAGTTATGGAGTTTAGAACTTCAGCCTTGGGGCATTTCTTAATGTTTATGAATTTCCACATCAGAAAAATTACAAAAAAATTGAAAAAAAAATAAATTTCAAAATTTGAATGCAGTTTTATAGAGAATTGCGGCAGAAACATTTAGAGGTATGCCACTTCAAAATCCGATTAGGATAAGTTGAGTTATGGAGTTTAGAACTTCAGCCTTGGGGCATTTCTTAATGTTTATGAATTTCCACATCAGAAAAATTACAAAAAAATTAAAAAAAAATAAATTTCAAAATTTGAATGCAGTTTTATAGAGAATTGCGGCAGAAACATTTACAGGTATGCCACATTAAAATCCGATTAAGATAAGTTGAGTTATGGAGTTTAGAACTTCAGCCTTGGGGCATTTCTTAATGTTTATGAATTTCCACATCAGAAAAATTAAAAAAAAATTAAAAAAAAATAAATTTCAAAATTTGAATGCAGTTTTATAGAGAATTGCGGCAGAAACATTTAGAGGTATGCCACGTCAAAATCCGATTAATATAAGTTGAGTTATGGAGTTTAGAACTTCAGCCTTGGGGCATTTCTTAATGTTTATGAATTTCCACATCAGAAAAATTACAAAAAAATTTAAAAAAAATAAATTTCAAAATTTGAATGTAGTTTTATAGAGAATTGCGGCAGAAACATTTAGAGGTATGCCACGTCAAAATCCGATTAATATAAGTTGAGTTATGGAGTTTAGAACTTCAGCCTTGGGGCATTTCTTAATGTTTATGAATTTCCACATCAGAAAAATTACAAAAAAATTAAAAAAAAATAAATTTCAAAATTTGAATGCAGTTTTATAGAGAATTGCGGCAGAAACATTTAGAGGTATGCCACATTAAAATCCGATTAATATAAGTTGAGTTATGGAGTTTAGAACTTCAGCCTTGGGGCATTTCTTAATGTTTATGAATTTCCACATCAGAAAAATTACAAAAAAATTAAAAAAATTAAATTTCAAAATTTGAATGCAGTTTTATAGAGAATTGCGGCAGAAACATTTAGAGGTATGCCACTTCAAAATCCGATTAGGATAAGTTGAGTTATGGAGTTTAGAACTTCAGCCTTGGGGCATTTCTTAATGTTTATGAATTTCCACATCAGAAAAATTGCAAAAAAATTGAAAAAAAAATAAATTTCAAAATTTGAATGCAGTTTTATAGAGAATTGCGGCAGAAACATTTAGAGGTATGCCACGTCAAAATCCGATTAATATAAGTTGAGTTATGGAGTTTAGAACTTCAGCCTTGGGGCATTTCTTAATGTTTATGAATTTCCACATCAGAAAAATTACAAAAAAATTTAAAAAAAATAAATTTCAAAATTTGAATGCAGTTTTATAGAGAATTGCGGCAGAAACATTTAGAGGTATGCCACTTCAAAATCCGATTAGGATAAGTTGAGTTATGGAGTTTAGAACTTCAGCCTTGGGGCATTTCTTAATGTTTATGAATTTCCACATCAGAAAAATTACAAAAAAATTTAAAAAAAATAAATTTCAAAATTTGAATGCAGTTTTATAGAGAATTGCGGCAGAAACATTTAGAGGTATGCCACTTCCAAATCCGATTAAGATAAGTTGAGTTATGGAGTTTAGAACCTCAGCCCTAGGACACTTCTTAATTTTTTGAGTTTCTACAACATCATCACATCAAAAAAATTACAAAAATATTAAAAAAAAATATATTTCTAAATTTGAATGCAGATTTTTAGAGAATTGCGACAGAAACATTTAGGTATGCCACTTCAAAATCCGATTAAGATAAGTTGAGTTATGGAGTTTAGAACTTCAGCCCTAGGACAATTCTTAATTTTTTTGAATTTCTACATCAGAAAAATTACAAAAAAATGTAAAAAAAAAACCTTCTGCCTGTTACATACTTTTCAACGAATCTAGTATACCCTCTTACTCTACGAGTAACGGGTATAAAGAGTGTTACTTCAATCAGGTCTCATACATAAATTTAAACTGTAAGTTGGTCACAGTTGCTATTCAGTTGGCAAACTACCCAACCCATTTATTTGCTGAACTGAACTTACATAAATGCCAACTGTTTGCGCAGATTTTGGTACACTGATAAAAAAGTGTAACTAAGTTAATATCATGTTTTAACCATGACCTTCGAGTTTGTACTATTCCCTCTTGCTCTAATTTTACTTTACATCTTCTTTAATTATACATTTAACATTAGTCGGCAGCTAATCATTTTGTTATCTGTATCCTTGCGTGCTCGGAATAAGATATATATTTAGTTTTCTCTGGCCGACCAGCCGCTCTCGTTTTCACCTGACCGATGGGGGGAAAAGTTTCCCGGCACTTTTCACGCTTTCCCATGGAAACTTTGGCGCTTCCGCCTGCCACCTCTCGATTTTCATTGTCAGGCGATTGTGTTCCGACCATTTCGAGCATTTCCAGAAAAGTTCGCACAAAGCTAAATGTTTATTTGTACTGCAGTTGGTTGTTACCGCCCGTTTGTTTGCTTGTGTGATTGTTTGTTTCGCAGCAGTTTTTTGCTTTTTGTTTGGTTTTCCGGTTTTTCCCTGTGCGTCGCCGCTGAATCGCATTCTTGGGCCAGGAATCATTAGGAACTATTTGCTAAGCAAATGCCACTGGCATTGCGGAGTGGCCTGAAATTGTTGCAGCCGGAATGCTGGACCGCAAAAAAGTTGAATGGCAATGGGAAAACCAGGCCAGGAGCAAAGCAACCTTGCTCGAAAATGACGCTGCGAATTGGTATTGTGGTTTTCGCCCATTTTCCCCCATTTTCCCAGCGGCATTGCCCTTTGGGGCTGCATATTCCCCTTCCCGTTCCCGTTCCCCCTGCGAACTGAGCTCATCATTGGCACATTAACAGCCCCATTGGCACACTCACTCGGCCAAATGCACATTTGACTGGCTAATTAAGAGGCTGTCAACAAATTGGCATAAAAAAACAACGCCAGCTCATCTCATCGCTGCCAAGGAAATGGCACCGAAACGTGACCAGGCAAAAAACTCTCAAGCAGTGCGGAAAAGCCGGAAAATCCGCCCACTTCTCATCACACATCCCATCACACGATGTTACGGCCACTACAGAAAGTGTGACAGTTGGTCTATATAGCACATATAACACTCATGTATGTGTGTGTGTGCGGTGGCTGTGCGTGTGTGAGTGCGAGTGTGAGTGAGTGTGAGTGCGCCCAGCATCAAGTGCCATTGACGGCGCGTCATTTTCTTGAGTACTCATTTATCCTCGGCGCACAAAAGCTGCCACCTCCTGAAATGGAAAAAAAGCATTTGAGCCTCGAGTCTGCGTATTTAATTAACGAAACGGAAATTGCAAAATGCGACTGCGGATACTGAATCCATTGAACTTGCATTAGGTTTAAGTTGGCTTTTAGCAGTAGCAGCTTTTTCCTGCTTAATTATATTAGAAACGAAATATTTCGCTTCGCAATTGATTAAATTCAAGCCAAAACAATGCAATTTCCAGTGATTGGCTTATAGAATGCTTTCTCCATGGGCACCGAACTTTTTTCACAAATGAACGTCAATGGAATTTGAGATCCATAAACCAATTTGCAACACTGCAGCATATTTGTTGTTATATTGAGCTCGTAGCTCCCGACTGCGATAATTAAATTAAAGGATTTTCACTCAACTGCTAATCAAGTAACTTTCCGCACTGCTTATTCAAGTTGAAACTTTTGGGGCTGGAAAATAGTAAATTTATGGTAACTGAAAACGTATAAGTACAATATTATGTTTGAAAAGCACAACATTTCGTTTAATCTAAGCGAATGAAGCCTTAGTCAGGTGACCTTTCCTAATTGCTTTCATTTAGCCTGCATCGAGGCCAATTCAATCCATCAGCATGGCACATAGCATATATTAAGAGCTCTTGGCCAGCTGTGAAAGTTGGCAGTTGGCCAGCTGGTTGTCACCTGTGAAAGTCAACTAAACGAACTAATAAATTGAAATATTTGCATATTCCACAGCTGGAGGAGGATCAGAACTGCCACCCAAATGGGGCAGAGCAGCAAGTCCGGAAGCGCCGTAGGCGGCGGGGGCGGAGGCGGAGGCGGAGGAGGCGTGGTCTGCCCCTCCACGGCGATCAGTGGCTGTGCCTCCGGAACGGCGCTCATCCAACTGGATGCCACTGCTCCAGGAGCCGCCGGAGCTGGGGAGTCGGAGCATGAACGCGGCACTTGGACGGGTCGCTTCGATTTCCTGCTCTCGCTGCTAGGATACTCAGTGGGCCTGGGCAATGTGTGGCGGTTTCCCTACCTGTGCTACAACAACGGAGGAGGTTGGTTTCATCCATGAAGTATATCTCATAATATACAGCGTTCAAGTCCCCAGGGTGGCGCACCTCGCACGATTTCCGATCTTTTTAAATCATGTCGAATTCTATCTTTTCAGGAGCCTTCCTCATCCCCTTCACCATAATGCTGGTGATTGCCGGACTGCCGCTGATGTTCATGGAGCTCTCCTTTGGCCAGTACGCCGCTCTGGGTCCCGTGGCCGTTTACCGCAGGTTCTGCCCACTATTCCGGGGACTGGGAACCGGCATGATCCTGGTGTCCGCCATAGTGATGCTCTACTACAACCTGATCATCGCCTGGACCATCTTCTACATGTTCGCCTCGTTTGCGCCGGTGCTGCCCTGGCAGAATTGCGAGCCGGCCTGGAGCACTAAATGTGAGTTTGACCCCTGGGGAGCACATAGTGTGATGGCCTCAATTAATTAATAGGCCAAAACACTCGGGGAAATGGGCAGAAGAGTGGAAGATAAAAGCGGATGTCAGATTCTCATCTTTTGTTACGTTTTTCGGGTAATAAATTAGGCAAATTGCAAGCTGTCAAAAGTGGAATTTTATTCCGCTCTGCTCCGCATTTGTTTTTCTTTGTGTCCATCGGCGGCACGTGGCCCGGTTGGGAAAACACATGGCCAGGAAAATCGGTGGTGGCGGGCGGGGGAAAATGAAGAAAATGAAGAAAATGAACAAAATGGTTGTGTAACCAGCAGACCCCGGAGACAATTGATTCGGGACGACGCAGCCAAGATAAACACACACAATCCCTGGGAAACTTTCAAGGAGACTCGCAAGTCAGGGCAAAAATGTAAAATAAAAACTCGATAAGTTCGCTTCCGAAATATCCGAATAGTGTAGGCTAGCATAATGCCAGGGGATCAAACGTACATCATTCATTCGGCCCCCACAAAAGCTGAACCCCCCTCCCTTTCCCATTCCCGCCCTTCACGCACACGCAAGCAAATAAAAAGTATGAACAAACTTTCACCCAGAATTATAATAATAAACAAGACGTAGGGGCGGCACAATAACACAATAACGCTTGCTGGATTCCTAGGCGCCCTGAAGTAGGCAATTGTTTTTGTGCCGCGCTTGACATTGCAAGGTGAGAGCTTTCTGCGCCTGTGTGTGTGTGTGCGTGTGTGAGGATTCTATGAGTGTGTGTTCGTGTGGCGAAGGCGTTTCCTTGCGAGTTCCCAAGTCCGCTTGTGACTTTCTTGGCCAGGAACGCTTTAAAATGTTCCGCACGCGAATCGCATAAATCTTTAACGACCATTGAACGCCGACTCTTCCGGATTCTGGAGCTGGGAGGCGGGAGGATTTGTCATGCTTTCCCGGAAAAGCGTGGCCATTTGGCTATGTAGGTCAGAATGGATGACAGACCGAAAGCCTTGGAGCTTATTTGTGAGACATTCAACAAAATTTACATTTCCTGCCTGTCATAAATGGTTAATTTTGTGAGGAAATAGGAAACCAAGTGAATGGGTGGAAACTTCCTTTGTTTTTTGTTGCTCAACAAGGAAGTGTTATGTAAATTCAAGCCTCTCATATGACAGTATGATTTTTGAATGCGGTTATGTATGGATTCCTCGAAACACTAGTAGTATATCTCTATAAAATCAATATGTAAGGCAAAGGCAAGTAATCCACCAGGAACTTGGAACCGAAATCAGACCTAGACGGAGGTCCCAGGCTGTCTGCCATTTCCATATTTTTTTGTGATAGCCCAGAAATCGATAATGGATGCTATTGAGGGTCTTGGATATTGAATGGAGTCCCTCGGCGCACAGCATTTCACCTTGTGGGAAGCGAACACGGCAGCTTGAAATTGTTAAAATGACAAACAATTATGTCTTAACTGTTTTTGACACTCAATCGCTGGCAGTGGGAAACTCAACCTTGGGCCGGGCTTTTCCCTAAGCTTCGGGGATCCCAGGACGAGAAAGTATTGTGTGTGTACCAGTATATGTTGTGGGGGGAGCGGGAGGAGTGGGAGGAGTGGGAGGAGCGGGGGGACCTGCCCCGGCAGACAAGCAATTTCTTAAGGATTTTATTTATTGACACTTCTCGATTCGCCGATTCGCCCGTTGTGCTGGCAGCATCCTGACCTCGTTCGCCTTTGTCCTCGTCTGTTTTAGATGACAAATGTTTACTTTTAGTGTCACGATTAAAATGTGTTTGACTTTGTTTGTCCACGGATCGAGTGTCGCACTCTGTTTGGCTCTCCACTTACTTGTGTGCTTATGTTTTGCAGTAAATATTTGGCCAGCATTTTGATGTGCCTAATAAGGTAAATGATCTGGCCACTAAAAATCCCTTCACTCGACTCTGTAAAGTCTGGCCCCCATACTTCCAACATCTCCCAAATGTGCCATCAAACCTGAGGCCACAAAATGTAGGGCCAACTTTCTGCACCAGGCGTAGCCCCCAAGTTGAATAAGAAAGTCGGTATCCTTTTGCACACGCACACAAACTCCGCACAGGATTTATTTATGTGCGAATTGGTTGGGGCCCTCGTTCCGCGTTCCTCTTTCAAATAGAATTTATTTCGTCCAACTCGGGTGTGTGTGCGTTTGTGTAATCAAATTAATTGCAATGCAAACAGCGGCAGACAGGCAAATTAAACGGCGTGTAAACACTTTGAAGTTTTTCACAAAACCATCAACCGCCAGCCACATGAGATTGTTCTCGAATTTATTTCCCCGTCGGAAAATGAAGCTGATGAATGGCTCTGGCGAGTGTGTGCACGAGTATGTGGGCTTGCTGGGAATTTAAACTTGAATCTAGCGACGGTTTAATTCGACGCGGCAACGGGGCGTATGAGCAATGCTTATTGACAGGCGCTGATTGGGCGTGGGAAAGCGGGCTGCTCAATAAATCGATTTGCATACCCATTTCAGTTCGCAAACGAGTTTAGTTCGCAATTAGCCACTGCCAGCATCAATGTCCTGCAGCTTACCCCACGTAAAAGGACATTTCTGCCGCTTTTCGCCAAGCAGGGGGACATCAACTGTCAGGCAGTCATTTTGCGGTTATTTGGGTGGAAAACTTTGCCGACTTCGGCGGCACTTTCTCTTTCGGAACTCGGCGCACATAAGTCAAATGTCATAACCAAAAGCGAAAGTTTCAGACATTTGTGGGGCTCCATTTGCGGTCTAACAGGTAAATACAATTGGTGGTTGCTCGGGAAATTGAGCGTTGTGGGTGTGGGTTTTCCAGCAAGCAGCAAGTGCCTCGTAAAGTTAAAGTCTCATTAGACAGATCAAATCGGATGGACTTTATGCACTGCCGAAGAAAGGAAGGCGAAAGACAGATTGCCTGCTATTGACCTTTCGCCCCCGCCAAGCAGCCAAGCAGCCAAATTTGCCAGTTGCCAGATGCTTTTGTCCAACCCTTTTTCGCCAAAGGATTCGGACCCTTTTTTATGTTTGCTGGGGCTGCGCCTTTTGTGCTCTCCTCTGATTTGCTACTTTGTCCTTTTAATTATGTTCGCAGACTTGCAGAACCCTGGGTTGCACAACCCAGCAAATAGTTCATAAATATTAAAACGCTGTTTGCATAATTGAGGGGTAATGGGAAGGGCATTGATGGGGGGAATGGGCGTCCAGATCCACTTGCTGACAGCCAAAGTCTCTTGCAGATTGCTTCTCGTACGCCCAGGCGGACCAGTGCGAGGCCACCAATGGCACCTACTACCTGCGCACCTGCCACAACGCCACCTCCGCGGCGGAGAACAACATCACCGCCCTGGCGCTCGGCGCCCTGAAGCGTCCACCAGCCGAGGAGTACTTCAAGTGGGTTTTCACATGCACTTGCTCCAGAATCATTTGCTTTTTAAGTATTTTTTGTATACTTTACTTATTTTCATTACTTAATGCAGTATGAATTGAGTTTAACTGGGCTTACCCTTCTCCTCCTCTATTTGCACTTCCTTGGACACTTTGCACTCGCACTTGGCTCCGGCAGCAACTTCGTGCTCGGCCTGTCCAAGGGCATCGAGGAGACGGGCAGCATTAAGCTGTCACTGGCCGCCTGCCTCTTCCTGGCGTGGACGATAGTGTTCCTGTGCCTGTGCAAGGGCGTCCAGTCGTCCGGCAAGGTGGTCTACTTCACGGCCCTCTTCCCCTACGTCGTCCTGGTGATACTCTTCGTCCGGGGAGTCACGCTGCCGGGTGCGAGCACGGGCATTATCTTCTACCTGACGCCCGACTGGAAGCAGCTGGCCAACGCCCAGGTAGGTGGTGAATGCGGCATCCAAGCCGCTCCATGGACACGGCCTTCATCCTCCCACTTATCCAATAGGTCTGGGGCGATGCTGCGGTCCAGATATTCTTCGCATTGAGCCCGGCCTGGGGCGGCTTAATCACGCTCTCGTCCTACAACAAGTTCTCCAACAACTGCTACAAGTAAGTTTTACAGTATTCCGATGGGCTTAACAGCGATGGGTCCACGGGGTGCGATGAGTACCCTTTGTAGCCATGGCTACAAATTTATAAGATACTGAATTAGCACTAGCATGGCCAGTTTCAATCTAACACCAAATCCAATTAAAGGGACTCGCTGATCGTGGCCTTCTGCAACATAGCCACCTCCTTCTTCGCCGGCCTGGTGATCTTCTCCATCATTGGGTTCCTGGCCCACGAGCTGAACGTCGATGTGGAGAAGGTGGTGGACCAGGGCGCGGGTCTGGCCTTCATTGTCTATCCGGAGGTGGTCACCCGGCTGCCCATCTCGCCCGTTTGGGCCGTTCTGTTCTTCGTGATGCTGCTGACCCTGGGACTGGACTCCCAGTTCGCTCTGATGGAGACGGTGACCACGGCGATTCTGGACAGGTTCCCCAACCTGAGGCAGTACAAGATCTGGGTGGTCCTGTCGGTGGCCATTTTCGGTTACATCGGCGGCCTGGGCTTCACCACCAATGTGGGTATCTCTCACGGGCAATCAAAGTGTATGACTTCACATTTCTCCTAATCCTCTAGAGCGGCATGTACTGGCTGCAACTGATGGACAAATATGCTGCCAACTGGTCCGTGCTGCTGATTGCCATCTCCGAGTGCATCCTGATTGCCTGGATCTATGGATCCCAGCGGTTCCTCAACGACATTCAGGGCATGATTGGCAAGCGATCCTGGTTCTGGAATTTCTTCTGGGGCATCATGTGGCGCTACATCACGCCAGCCACCCTCTTGGTGAGTTCATCTCGCCGATTACCACTGATTATGCAGCTATACCCCTAATCTACTCAATCTCTCCCAGTTCATATTGTTCTTCAACTGGGTGGAGTACAAGCCGGCCAAGTATGGTCACTATGTCTACCCCATGTGGGCGGATGCAGTGGGCTGGATCGTGGGGCTGCTGCCCGTGCTGGTCATCTTTCTGGTGGCCTTCCAGGAGATTTGGCGGGCGCCCAAGAGCCTCAGCTTCCGGGAACGCATCAAGCACCTGCTGCAGCCCACCGCCGAGTGGGGACCAGCGGGCAGACCCTGTGTCAACCTGCACGCCGAGCGGTACCAGAGCCAGAACTACGACGGCGTGACCAACACCAAGATCCTCATCGAGGAGGAGGCCTCGCCCAAGCAGGCGGCGGCCAAGAAGGACAGGCAGCTGACCCTCGACGTGGACGTGGATGTCGAGTGCCTGCCCCTGGCGACTGTGGGCAAGCGGCCAGGTGCTCCAAAGTCAATGGGCAAGCAGGGCAGCAGCGGCAACCTGCAGACGAATGCCAAGAACGGCACCCACAAGTCGCCAACCACCGAAATCAGCCCCAGCAAGCAGCCTCTTATTCCGGCCGAAAAGGACAATAAGTCGGCCACCACAAAGGTCCTGGCCGCCGGAACGCAGAACAGCGGACGCGAGTGCACCACCATGTCCACTTTCGCGGGCGGCGGGGAGAAGAAGCCAACCAAAGTCAATTCGGGCGCAGTAGCCACAACTGCTGCAGCCACGCTGGCCAGCAGCAACACCACGACATCAGCAACTGTTGCTGCTGCCACCAAATCACCGCCTCCAGCTGGTGTGGCAGTTTCCACTTCAGTGGGTGTGGCTGCCACAGGGGCAACTGTTGCTGCTGCGGCAAATGGCAAAGCTAGCATTGCTGCTGGCAAAGCCACACTGAAAACGACAATATCATCAGGTGCTGCTGCTCCTACTGCTGCTGCTGCTGCTGGTGGCAACAAAGCAGCCAGTGTTGCAACTGCAACAGCATCAGTCGCCGCTGGCAAAACGCCTGCGGCAGCAATGGCTTCGAATGTGGCAGCTTCGGTTAAAGTGTCGCAAACGGAAAAGACGGCTCCACTTAAGACCACAATATCGGCCAGTATTGCTGCTGCTCCAGGCGGCACAAAAGCGTCAACGGCACCTGGTATTGCAACTGCAACAGTGATCAGTGTCTCGCCAGGAGCTGCTCCAGTGGCTGGAGCCTCAAAAGCCGCCGCTCCACTCAAAGCCGGGGCTGGTGCTGCAGCTGCGGTTAATGCAGCACAGGCCGCAAAAATCACACCAGCTGCCGCTCCATCGGCACTTGTTGCTACTGCGCCGCCAGCCAAGTCCACATCAGCATCGGTGGCGAAGACAAATACCAACGCTGGCAGCAAGCCAGCGGCCGCATCAACTGCACTCAAGTCGGATGGCCCAGCTGCAGCAGCAAGTGTTGGTGTGACGAACGGAAAGGTCACGCCGAGTGGAGGAGTCACAGCAAGTGCACAGCCAGCGGTTAACCAAAAAGCGACAGCAGCAGCAACCCAAAAGTCGCAAGTGGAAACTGCAACGGCAACGCCAGCAAAAACTGCCTTGAATCAAAAGCCGATTGCCCCATCAGCGGGAAGTGGCAAGGTGGCCACGTCGGGTCCAGCCGAACTGTCCAGCAGCCGGAGCACGGATAATCCACCGGCTGCAAAGGGCGCGGCCAGCAGCAGCATGTCGGCCAAGTCCGCGAAGGCCGCCAGGACACAGGCGAACGAAACCAGCCCCACGAAGACAGCAGGGAAGCCCCTTAAGGCCGGCTCCACCAGTCCCACTAAAGCGGTGGCCAAACCAGGAGCAGCTGCAGCCAAGACTGCAGCGACATCTGCTGCAACAGCGACTGCTGCGGGCAGCAGCAGCAGCAGCGGCAAGAAGGCGGCCACGTCTACAGCTGCAACACTGGGCAGCCAGGCGAAGACGAAAGGCAATGCAACCGGAGCGGGAACTAAGAAGTAATAGCCAGAGCGTACCAGGTAGGATCTGTGTGCCGAGGTCGAGGTCAACGCATACGTGTTGTTCCCAATATCGAAAACTATTTTTATAAGTATATATATAAACGTGTATGTGTGTATCTACGAGCTAAGCAACCCACTTAACTGTACATGTAAAGAGTTTAACTAGGCGATTATGCAAACGGACACACGCTAAGTCGAATACTTGTAGACACCTCATTTGGATTGGCAGAGAGCGAGGGAGGATCGAACCTTCATGTTTCCTATGCGAAAGTACCTATTTATCAGTCATCACGGTGGATAGCTGTTCCTTAGTACCTAATTTCAGATCGATGGTGGCGGAAAGACTCGATTGTAATAACCGAACGTAACGAAGTTAACGTAGGCTTTAGGTCAGGACTCCTGGTGTTTGTTTAGTTCCGTGTGTATATCCCCTGGATGCCCGCCGTTGGGCGCCAATTAATTCGAGAGCAATGTTGAAAGTGCAATGGAAATCGTTGAGTTTTAAATATATATAAATTTATATACAAATATACAAAGGTTACAACTAATCAATTTACACAAGTGAGAGATCGTTTGATTGGTTTTTTACTGCGAATATTTTTAAGACTACTTTGGAGGGCGGAACTTAGGAGGGCGGAGGTATTTTTCCGTTTTATAAGTGCGTGCATTTGTTTATAGAGCAGAATACATCACCCGGAAGGCGAGATCCCTAATCTGTAAATGTGAATGTGAACGTATATGTAAATGTAAATGTATCTATGTGCTCACTGTATCTATGTTTTCTGTGCTAACGAGAGACTCATGTACCTAAATGTTAATCAAGTTGCATCAAATCCCTATTTGTGTGCATTTGTATAGTTAAGGCAAATATTTAGAAATGTTTTATGTGCGTGGAGTTGGCGGAAACTAAGCCGAATACGGAAAATGCTCACAGAAAAACGCAAAAACAATAATTACACGTACATTTCTAGAATTTATATAACCATTGTTGTGTATTCATGTTGAAAATAATTATATAAATATATTAAAATATACAAGAATAGAAACAAATATAATACTCGTAGATATTTGTATGTGTTTGTACCTATAGCTAGTTGGGATATTTAAAGCACCTATCTCGTCAGAAACGATCCAATCTGAAGAAAGCGTGCTTTGCTTCTCACCTTATTTTGATATTACATTATTACAAGTTTAGAGGCATTCGATTGAGAAACCCCAACTTTATTCAGTCCCTGAAAATGTGTGATAAATTATTTGCTCCGGCTCAAAGTAATTTTCAATTTGTGTCAAACATATTTAGGCGTAAGTGAAAACATTGGAAACAGGAATATATAATTATACGCGAATTGAAATTGTTGTAACTTGAGTTCGTTGTTGTTGTTTGTTTAGCGCAGTAGCTGTGACACCTGCCTACATACATACATATGTACCTAGACCCTAGAAACTAAATTCAGTCATATAACCATATTTGCACACAGGAAGTTGGTCGCCTTGAAACTGAGACACCTGGAATTATGGAAAGACATTTGTTTAAATCAATCAAGTAGACAAATTGCAATTCATTTAACCTACAAGCAAGTTTCCCAGTTTCACGGCGACTAATTCGTTGGGTGAACGTTTATGGAGTATGGAAATAAGCCATCGATGTTGCATGTTTGTTAGTTGAACTGGATGTGTACCTGTAAAATGAAACCGGCAACGTAGTCTAAGCGGAATTATCAAGTAAATATAGATAAGAAATTATGTACCGGCTGTTCGAAAGATATAAAGATAAATATTAGCACATGTAATGCCGCAATTTGCTCAAACTTAACTTAGGTCGCAAGTGAATACACAGAAACATAAACTGTCAATTCAGACAAGGTATTTATAGTTTTAAAGTAAAACAAATTACCCAATCGGCACTTAAAGTAGTGAAATAAGCGGAGTTTACTTTAAACATTGAACAGAGGAGCTTCAAATTTTATATGAAACTTTGAGATGCCAACGGATTAGGTAATCGTGTTTAAATAAAACTGAAAGAGCTAGGCAAGTGATCAAATTGCAACTCACATCCCTGTAAACCGAATGAAAACCGAACCGAAATAAGACCCATCAACCGGAATACCCACCAGTTACATGATCAACAATAATAACAAATAAATGTAAACGGAAAATGTATTCGATGTATGCATTTAAAGCGATTACATAGTTAAGAGTACATAAAGTCAGGATTTAAAAAACACCTTGTGTCGAGAAGCATTCACATTATTCTTTTAAAGTTCTGTTTATTCGAAATCAAAACTAAGCAGAGTTATGTAATCAGAAAAGTTATTTTGAGGCGGAATCGAATGTCTGCACAGCAAATCAAAAGTAACATCCCATTTCGCTGCGCCGATTTGAAAACCTAATTCGTGGGCTACACACAATATCTTACTAAAATAGATGTATAACATTTTGCTGTTCTGGTAATCAAAAATATATGTTATATCAAATTAAAAGTGTAAGCAAATATGACACGTACGAGTAATCCACAGATGCCAATAACTAAACGAGTAATCATAATAAAGTATGTAACATTAAGCCAGGAAAAACAATATTCATGAATAAATATTTATGGGTTTTAACAGTCAGCGGAATATTTCAATTCATTTCATTTCCCCCAAAAAGGTGTGGAGGGAAACAAGGATGATAGTTATCTCGCGGATTTATAACCGACTCGAGCACCGAAGGCTAATCCCCACCATTCCTCACTCTGCCTTCTCCTCATGCATAAACGGAATTAACTACAGTCTCATTAATCCGGCCAAATAGAGGGGCATTTCTACTTTCAATAGATTCTAAACTCTGGACTCGATGTCGTGCTCTCGCCTGGAAGGGCGCGACTCTCAACGCAGAACGCCATCGACGCACTTACAAATGCGCCGTCTGAATTTCACTTCAAGCGAGAATCGTTCGGAACCGGTTCAACTTGGTTCAAGTTGAGCTATATTCAGCGACAATGCTCTGCTTGCGTAGCGCATGGCCTAAGACGTGCGACTGCAAAACATAACTGACCGGGTTCAAAACCACCATTGGCAATTTTTTTTTTTTATACTTAAAAACTATTTTAAGCCTTTGTAGGATGGGTAGCAGCAAAAAGTAATTATTGAATAGCCTTATTTCAATTAATTAGCTTAAATGTTTTACAATTTTTAATGTACCAAAACGGAATAAAGACTGTGAAAATACATTTAAAACCCCATTTCAAATTGATTTTCCATGTAAACTACTTAGTCACAGCAAATAGAAGCTTCATTTTAAGAAAAAATTCCAGTTGATAAACAATATCTACGCTAAAATGATGCTGAAGAAATCCATTATATTCATTTTACTGGCTGCTCTTCTGCACAAATCTGCTGCAAAACGATTCGAGGGATACAAATGGTGCACGGTGGCCAGAGACGGAGCTTGTGTGAATTAAACACTTTATAAATATTGAATAAAATATGTCCCTGTCCTAAGCACCAAAAAACTAATTTAATCAATATGTTAGCTTCCATGTACAATGCAGTGGAGGAATTCTTGAGTATGGGCGTTACAGGGTGGTAAAAACACATTTACATTTCAGAGAATCACAACTGTTCTTTAATCTATTGCGAACTGAACAATCCCATGCTTCGAATTAGGAACTGGCTTGTAGCCATAGGCAGTCGTTTAACTAAAAAGGTTTGAGAAACATCGAAAACCTTATTCAATCAGGTTTACCTTTGGCTATTGTAGAAACTGCCTTTCTTCGAGAAATGGCATCAGAAGAGGGAACTTTTATTCAAAACGTCCTGGGCATTGATGGTCGAAATGCAAGCACAAGCAGGGGCGAACTACCCATGGTCAGCAGCTTTTTCTGTCCGCTCCTGCTGTTTTTTCTTTGGATAGTCTCCTTAAGTACGAATGTGAGTAGCCTGTTAAGCAAACCCTCTAACATCCTCCTGTTTCCAGTCATTTTGGGTTTTATATGCGTGTGCTGCAAGTTTGTGAAATCGGAATCTTTTACCAGCTACGACTCCGACAGCTTTGAGCTGCAGCAGGTTCATATCCTGGAGCCCGCACTTGGACAGGTCAAAGGATGTGCGTGCCTGGAGCAAAGAAATGAAAAGTAACTAAGCTAATTAATGATTAGTAGCTGCCGTACATTACTTTTATTGTAGCTCATGATAGCTTTAGGTTTTTTTGATTCGTATTCAAAGTTTTAGTACTTAAGATACAAATAACTTTAACACTCGTCTGGGCTTAAGACATCCCGGTTGCTAATATCGAAATAACTAAAGCACTGCTCTTCTAGAACTGTAAACTAAATTGCCTTCATATTTGGTAGGTTTTGTTTCTGTTTTTGGAATAGTTATGAAATATGAAATACTGGGGCTCTCAGTAAGCTTAAGCGGACTTGACCTCCGGCTTAGACAAAGTCAGGACATCCTCTTGGATGGGGGACAGAGTTAGCTTTAGGTCGTGTTCCTTGACCAATTTACAAATCGTGTCGAACTGAGCGTCCGAAAAAGATTTACGGGAAAAGTTCACTTGCTGATCTGAAGCGTTCTTGAACTGCCTAATCAAATCTTCCATGTTGTCTTTGAAATCCTGTTCCTTTGCTTCTTTCTTCAACTGAGCGGCTGTTTTACGGACCTCCGGCTTTGAATTATTTACTGACAAGGCACGTGTCCATAGATCGCGAGTGGCCTCCTGATACTTGGTGATTCTCTTGTTCATGCTGATGATCTCGTCGCTGATCTCCTTGTTATCCGGCTGTTTGGTCTGCGCCTGCAGGAAGGCCTTGCGGGCCAAGTCGTACTCACCCAAAGCGGCCAGGGCGCGTCCCTCCTGGAAGAACGCCTTGCAGGATGGATTCTCCAGGGTCAGGTGCCGTAAAGCCTTCATCATGATGCAGGCGCGTTTCGGCTTGTTCAGCTTGTTGTAAACGATCATTAGGTTTTGCTGGGGAAAGTGACAAGGAATCAACTACTTGGTCGAGTTCGCTTCTTACAAGCCCATCTTGGTGGCCACTTACGTTCAGGGTAATAAGCAATTCAGTTTGCTTGCACTCCTCCTCGTCATTGGCCATTCGGCAGTAGTTCAATGAGCTCACCGCCCGTTCAAAGGCAGTGGCCGCATTGCGATAGCGTCCGCGCTTCACGCAGTCCTTGCCATGTAGGTGCAAGTCCTGTGCCTTGGGATAGACTACACAAAACTTGTCGCGGTCTTCCTTGGGGATAGCATCGATGCCCTCCGCATCGCCTATGAGCGAGTAGTCAATAACCTCCACCTTAAAGAGCGCATCCGCCTTGGGCTTAATCCTTGGAGGGCAGCCGAGTTCTCCGAAGAGCAGCTTGTAGGAGATAATGAACTCGGCCTGCTCGTAAGGTCGCATGGTGCGCACGGCGGCCTCCAGGCCTTCAACCACCGTTCCCTGGCCAGTTTCAAACTCGAATTTGGTGCCCCGCAGCAAGGAGGAGTCAAAGGGAGCTGCCTCGCTCTCCCAGTAGCCACTGTACCGAACCGAGACCCTCGCCTTATTTGGCACCGCATCCCGATCCACGTGACCGGTGCGAGTGATCCGCTTGTAAATGTGTTCGTCGATCTCGCTCATCAGGGCACGCAGTTCGTCGAAGGAATGCGTCCACGGGGAACGCAGCTCCTCGCTGTCCACATCCTCCGCATCCTCGTAGTCGCTTTCGCTATCGAGACCCAGATCCCTGTTATTGTTTTGCTGCGACATGTCCACCTCGAATTCAGCGCCCTTTTCCACTAGATCGCTGAAGGAGTCGCAAATTCATGATTAGAGCCACGTGCTCATGAGAGCTGTGATATCTTAGTACTCACGAATAGGACAAGGGATTCTTGAGCATCTGGGTGGTGAAGGGCTGAAAATTATCCTCCATTTTCTCAAAATGTCCAGGTTATTTATTGAACGAACTGCGGAATTCGCTGATTTGGCGCTTTTCATTTGGATGCTTCATGGAACAGAGCTTTCCAGCGATGGCATCATGTGGTTCGATTGTTCGGTAATATCGATGGGGCGCTTTTGGTCAGAAGCTATCAAATTCAAATTGAATAACCAAAACAAAGAATAACGATAACGATAAAATTCGATATTTTAGTTTTGAGAAATTCCATTCTGCGACTCGAGATATCTTCCAAAAATGACTCGGCAATAATGCAACAACCAAGATTAAAAGCAAATTGCTTCCGTATGCCAGACCAAGATTGTGTAAACCAGATGGCTTTACATACGTTTTATATGAATTTTTATTTAAAACTGAACACTTATCGCACTCCAACTGCAAGCACTCCAATGAGAGAATTTTTTGGTGTGTGTAACAATAAAAAACTAGGAAACATAATGAGGAATGCATTCTTAATGGCCTTGTTTAGTGCTCACCTTGCGATATGGTATGGCTATGAGTTGTATATTAAAGGGAGGCTATTCTAAGCAATGATCAATACAATGGTAAACGAATGCTCTCCGTTCACTTCTTCAGTAGCTTGCTCATGTCCTTGTTCTGCTTGTGGATCTTTAAGTCGACATCCTCGATTTTATAGTTCATGTTATCCAGCAATTCGTTTTGCGACTCAATTTCGCCACCCAGATCGGTGGCCAGCATCTTGAGCACCGACAGGTTACTGCACATCTCCTCCAGATTGGAATCGATCTGAGCCTGGAAGGGATTTGCCGCCTGCCGCTGGGGATGGTAGGTGCTGCTGGGATCACCACGCAGCTGGCTAACCGGATGATTGTCGTAGCGCTCCGCTGGTGAAAGCGGAGCCGAGGGGCTAGCACCGCCACAGGCACCCAGATTAATATTGCTATTGGCCTCCTGAGAAGACTGACTCCCCGTGGGGGAGCCAGCGGCGGTGGAGGGCTGATCCCTGTTGCCCGAGAGGTAGTTCTTGAGGCCACCGAAGACACTCTTCAGGCCAGTCAGATGGCGCTGGCTGAAGCGCAGCGTGGAGCTGATCTCGTCCAGCTGATGTGATGTCTTTTCCAGCTGCTCCCGTTGCTTAGCTAGCTCGACGGCCGTCGCCTTGCCCACCTCCTGGGTTTCGTAGAGCAGACCTAAATGTTGTAGAAGATTCATGCATCAATAACGCCCCTTAATTGGCTGGCAATTGACCCCCTAGTTACCCAAGCTTTTGTTGGTGGAGTCCAGAGTTCGCTGCTCAATGGCCCTTCGCTTCTCAGCATAGGCCAGCCGCTGTGCGGCCACTGATGGCGACGAGCTTATCTCGTCCTCGTCATCATCCATCTCGAAGGGATTGGTGCTCCTCTGCTGCGGAAGCTTTGCAGCCCCCGTCCGCTTGTTCTGCAGGAAGAGGTCGTCGTCCACGTCCTCGAATCTGTCCACGTCATCGAAGTGGTCGTGCACTGGTTGCAGGTAGTTATGGGCCATATTTTTAAGCAAGCGAAACTTCCAAAATGTCGAATTTTGTTGTGTTTTCGTAAACTTTTATTTTTCTTTGTTGTTGTTTGGTGTTATCGATTGCAATAGGGATGGTACGAGTGTAGCGCTATATGCAGTTCAATCGATTTTAGCTTAGCATGGTGGAGGCTTCATAAATTAAATGTAATATAATTAAAACAATTTGGAAAACACATTAAAAATATCATTTTGTATGCGAGAAAACGGTTAGCTTATTATAAAAGGTGAATAAACGTGAGAAGAGCAATAACGAATCCCCCTACTGGGCATATAGCGGGGAAAAAAGCGGCTTGCCATCTCCAACAGATATTGAACCAGGGTTCCGTCAGTTTTCCAGAAGGCGTCGTAGTTTTTGTAACTTTTTGGAACTGACCAAGACGGAAGCTTTAGTTTAATTTAGCAAATTGTCGCAGGCGAACGTCACAGGTTTCAGGACACGAATCGGCGGAGGAACGCATCAAAACATAGCCACATGCATAGCTCATCGCACTTTGTGGCCGCGTCATGCGCGGCGCTGCTTCTGCTGGTGTCGACTGCGCAGTCGGCGGCGGCAGCGCAGTCAGGACTGCAGCCAGGTGGCAAGTTAATCGAGTTGGACGAGGACAACTGGCACCTGATGCTCCAGGGCGAATGGATGATCGAGTTGTAAGTGCGAAAGGGTAGCTTTGAGTAGTCCATATCCATATGAAACCCCGCAGCCCCTGACGTAACGAGGAGGGGCGTGGTACGCCGGCTTTTTTCTGCCGGCAATCTTGTTTTTCCGTTCTCCGGAATTCCAGACATTCCTTTGTGGTGACGATGACTCATCGGCAGCTGTACTAAACATATGTTTTCCTTGTGTTCACAGCTTTGCTCCATGGTGCCCGGCCTGCAAGAACCTGGCTCCCACCTGGGAGCGGTTTGCCCGCGTGGCCAAGGATGTCCAGGTGCAGGTGGCGAAGATCGATGTGACTACCTCGCCGTCGCTCAGTGGACGCTTCTTCGTCACGGCCCTGCCCACCATCTACCAGTGAGCGACACTTAACCCTTTTTAGCCCATAAAATACATATCATAATCCACGTAACTTGGTTACAGCGTAAAGGATGGCGAGTTCCGGCAGTATCGTGGAGCCCGTGATGGCGACGCCCTCCTCTACTTCGTGAAGAAGCAGCAGTGGCAGAGCATCGAACCGTTGTCCGCCTGGAAGAAGCCCGACACCATCCACATGTCCGTGCTGTCCTACTTCTTCAAACTGTCCCATACTCTGAAGGTACGTTCACCCAGCCCATCATCACATCGGTTCACTGCATGAGACATAAGCGGAAGCTTATCAGCGGGTTGATCCCGGTGACCCAAAGATTGCCGCCCATCACTCATTACTCTGGTCTTTGCTCTCTGCTGTTGTCTTGTATGTTGGGTTCATGTACTAATAGCACACGCAAAAACTCTTTAAGGACTTCAACGGGCGCCTGCAGGAGGAATACGGCCTGCCCACGTGGGGCTCCTACGCCCTCTTTGCCATCGCCACCATCTTCGTGGGCGCTGCCCTGGGGCTGCTGCTCGTGTGCCTTGTGGACTTTGTCTACCCACCCAAGAAGTCGCAGCGCCAGAGTTTCTCCGAGTCCCAGGACAATCTGACCGAGGGTCTGGAGGATTTAGCAGCCGAGGAGATCGAGGATGACGGCGATGCCGAGGAGAACGAGGATGAGCAACGCGATAGCGACGAGGAAGAACCGGAGGACGATGACGATGAGGAAGAGGACAGCGAGGAGCAGGCGGGAGATCTAGCCACAAAAGATAAGGAGGCGGACAGTGAGCCGGAGCAGGAAGAGAAGCCGGAGCCCAAGCAGGGCGGAGATGCTGCGCCAGAAAAGACGGAACAGGTGCGCAAGCGCAAACCACGCAAAGGCGATTAGGTACACTTGGGTCCATCCAGATCTTCAGCCTTAGCGATCAGAAGCGGCAACAAAAAGACTAACACAGAATCGAGAGAAACACAACCTCTTACCAAGCATCATTCGAGCAGATAGATTCCTTCTGCTCTGCCTTCGCGCACAATACCGATTGTTTCCCCTCTTAATCCTAGCCAGAAATCGGCACCTCATGTATTTCATAATTATGTAAAACAAAATTGTAATCCATTAAGCGATAGCAAGCGTAACAATAACTAAATTTAACTTTAGTCGTATACTTTTACCTTTTGCCAAGCATTGTATTTGTGTTCAAATTCATTTCCACACAATTAATTTCTCTTAAGCATTTCATTTGTAATTGATCTTCAATCGCAAATTGTATTAAATTTTCGTATTACACAATAAAATATCAAAATTTTAAATTGTTTTTTTACTCTGCGCTGTGCTGCCATCTAAATAATTCGGAAAATTTCGCTTTCTCTTGAAATTTCACACATGTGTGTATAGATTTGAAATGGAAGAACCACTTGATTCTTTTATTATGGCTTCGTCGAATTCTTAGTTATTTTTCTATTTAACATGAATAAATAAGAGTCCACGTGGTGAAATGGTTTTACAAATTTATTATCAGTTTATTGTAGGAGAATATGAAATAAGACAAAATCCCTGCAATTTCGTTTGTGTAAAACTACAAATAATTGTTATAAGATGTGTGTGGGTGGTGCTGATCGAAATGTTTCAAATTTTCCAATACATATTTCCAAACGCAAAAAAATGGGTAACTGTGGCTTAAAATAGTTAGCTCGTTGAGGCGTACAAGTTCATGCCTATCTTATAAAAAGAGTACAAAATGATTATACAAATATGTCTATAAAACGTGATTCATCTTCAGCGTTGCTTGCCTGATCTGTTGGCACTTGTGATTTAAATCGGAATTAACTGGATTAATTACAACATTTTGATTGTTAAACAAATAATATTTCTTTCAACAAATTGCTATGGCTATTGTTAGGTTCATTCTGGGGGCTTCGGGGATAAGGTACTTGTGGTGTGTGTGTATATAATAATTTCTATATTTAAATATATATTTGATATATATTGTTTGGTTGTAAAAGTTGTACTATTGCAGCGTATGGAGGAAGTTTGTTGGGAGGTTTTTCGGTTGCGGTTGGGATCAGGATCGGGATCGGGAACTGAATGAGGATGGGGATGGGGATTGGGATGGGAATGCGGATAGTGCGTTTCGGGCTGTGGTGAGTTTTCAAATACTTTAAGTAATTGTCTGTATGTGAGTTTGGAAATTTTGCTGTTGTGAATTTGGGTTTCAGGCTGGCTTCAGTTAATTCGTATTCGTATTCGTACAAAATGGCGAGATGTCAACAAAAACAATTGTTAATTACTTTGAAATATTCAAAAAGCAATCGTCGTGCGTCGTCGACTGCAGCTGAAAGCAGATTCTCCATCCGAGAACGGCTGGGATGGCTTTCAGCCCCAGACTTTTGTTGTAAAATTAACCTGGGGGGCCAACTCTATAACAAAGGCGCACTGCAGGCTTAAACTACTAAATAACTAATTGAGGTATGAGTGTGGTGAGGCTGTCCTCTTGCAGAACTAGCTGGATGCGTGGAAATTTTGAGGGGCCAAAAGCTGGCTGAATTTCGTAAACCGGTCTATTGCATAAAATTGCAGGTCTTCGTCCGCCGCCCATTGCCCATTGGGCACGGACAAGTAAAAAAGCGTAGCAAACTAGTTGGGCAACGGAAAAGGATGTGGCTGCTGCGATGACGATGGCGATGGACTGCTAGGCCACGAAATCGAGCGGCCGGTTGAAGCCACCCTTGCGATTCATGTACTGGCGGTACTTTCGCTTCAGGATTACATGCACTTCTCCGACATCGTTGCCCTCGACCTTCCTGTTCTTGGTGGTGTCGAACGTGCAGAATCCCATTGTCTTCAGCATCTCGACCTCTTCCGGCGATTTACCCTCCAGGTCCGCCTCGTTGATCTTGGGCCGGTCGGCAGCTGTGGCCGCCGCATTGTTCCTCGTCGTCCTTCGCGACGTCGATGGTCCGGAGCTGCTGTTGCCGCCGCTGCTTCCGCCGCCTCCTCCTCCGGCGCCCCTCGACCGCGATCTGCAAACCATGAATGTGCATAGTCAGTTGTGAGTGCTCTATACATTTCATTTGAGTGACAGTTTGAGGACCAGTTGATTGCATTCAAATTGCAACGAGCCTGGGAAATAACTGGGGCGACCTTGGGCATTGTCCACCCGATTGTGCAATATGAAGTTTTAATTACGCGAAATGCGACACTTTGCAACCGGTCGGTTGCCTTCATTAAAGATCTTATTTACGTCTACATTTTTGGCAATCATTTGAAGACCCAAGGCAACAAAGCGCTCATTAATGCATTGAATAACCGGCTTATGTAAAAATTGAGAAAAGGTATAGAAATTATGCATTTGCCCAAGAATTTCATTCCTGGATGGGTCCCTATATGAATATAGTTAACTATTTTCTGTCTTCAAAGAGAATACCTAAATGTAAAAGAGCATTCCTCTATATATTCTACTATATTCCTTACAACAACCATTTGAAAATAGCTAATAGATGATTGCAGCTCCCAGACCTTGTTTTAGTTTCGTGTGTTGTATTTCTTAAATGAAATGTTGTAGAAGATAACAGATAATCCTTATATCAAGTAGAAAATGTAGACAGTTTCGCTTAGGACATGTCCTCGATGAGGGCCGCACGCAGCTTGGTCGTCACTGTGGCGGGCTGTGCCTGGTTTAGCTTAAAGACGCTCTCGATCACCGAGATCTCTGTTGCGGTGGTGTTCATGCCCACAAAGGAGAGCCAGTCGTTGACCACCATGCCGGCAGCGAGCACTTCGCTTCCCCGGTTCACTGTTCCGGCCACGAGGGGAACCTGCAGCAGGGACGACAGCTCGTCCTGGTCCTGTATGCTCGTCTTGGGGTGCACCATGCCGCCCTGGTTGCTCAGCACTGCGTACGAGCCGACCAGTGTGTTGTCGGCGATGGTCTGGCGGAAGACCTCCACCTTGAGGACGTCCCCGATGATCTCCTCGGTCTCCTTGTCCAGATCCGGGTGGACCAGGGCCACATAGTCATTGCAGGCGATAACGTTGCCCAGCGCGGACAGGCGCTCCTCCACACGCTGGATCTTCACGGTGTCCGGCAGGCTGTTGCGCAGGTGCTGCAGCTCCTCGTCGGTGGTGGAGTTGGGCACCAGCAGGCCGTTCCGGTTGCCAACGGTGAGGCGGCCGATGATCCGGCAGCCGCCCACATTCGCGTGCACCACCGGGATGGTCTCGGCCAGCTCCGCCTCGAAGGCGCTGTAGAAGGTCTCGGATCCGCCGATGGCCACCAGGCAATATGTGTTGGTTAATTTGGTGAAGACGCCGATGTCGTCGTTGTTCTCGAATTGCACGCGCAGCGCCATTTTCTCTGTATGTACGTGGTTTCTCTTTTCCTGGTAGTTACTCTCTTATCGGATTTACTGGCCTGACTGAGCCTGTTGCTGGTGGGCTCGGGATTTTGTTTATATGTCCGGAAATCAATTTAAACGTCGTGATGAAATTCGCACAATTTCGCTTCACGTGGTAATTTCTTTACGTTCGGCCGCCAGAGCTGCATAGCCATCGATTGTCTGTCTATCGAAGTGGGGGTCTATCGATACTTGCGTGTAAATAAACAAGTTCTGGTCGGTGATTTCGGGGGTTTGAGGGGTCGGTTGCCCCCTCTTGAGGAATGTGTTCCTAAACCTACATAAACACTCCCTAAGCCTATCCTAAAATCATAGATACTGGATCCGTTTGAGTAAATTATGAACCTAAAGGAACCCTTTCAAACGTTTGTCCACCACGCCCCTGAACTGTGACCCACATCCCAGATTTTAGTGACTAGTTTTATACTTATCGTTGTTGGCGTTTGGTACACTACACTTTGTTATTCACCTAGATCGCCGACTCCGCGCACGGTCGCGCTCCCGTTCCCGCTCACGATCTCGGCTGCGACTGCGGTCGCGATCCCGGTCGCGACGACCGGCGCCTCCAGATCCGGATCCTCCGGCGGGCGCCACTCCGATGGCCTCCCGCTCCCGGGAACGGCGCTCCCTGCGCTTCTTTCGCTCGGATCGCTCCTTCTCGCGTCTCCTGTGCGCCGGCGAGGCGGGACTCCGGCTGCGGCCCATTGCTCCGTTTCGGTCTCTGCTTGTGTGGCGGTTTAAGTGATAGTTGGTTTGCCTGGAGTGGATTCGAAGTGTATGTTAGACGGCGTGCTCCCATGCTACCGCACGTATCCCGCTCACCGTTGCGCTAGGCTGTGTCTAGCATTATTTGGGCGACACCGGCGGTGGGTAAAAACGCGCTAACTTAAAACTAAAACCAAATAAACAACGCGCGTTATCTCGCCGCGACGCCGAAACGGAATGAGGAATGCGGATGAGGATACGAGGGATGCGATGCAAGGGCAAAACACCGCCACCAATCGGATATCGATTATTGGTATCTTCGCTCATGGCGATGTATCGTACATGTATCGTATACCAAAGTTCTCACACGATCAATTTGTTTTTTTGAATATGAAGAGGTCTAACTACATATTTTAAATGAAACATGTATTCTATTTATATTTTAATACCTTTACCTATAGTATATTTAACTTATACTTGGATGGTGGTACATTTATTAAATGCAGAAATGCAATTCTTTGAAATTTACCGATCTAATGAATAGTTCGAAAATACATTTTTAAATATTACATACATAGAATAATGAACCTTATATTTTCAAGATGTGTAAAATATAAATTTTTGGAAAACTATTAAACTATTCGTTCACGATCGCATGTGAAATGAACTACTATAGTGGCGGATCTTCTAGTTCGATCTTAATGACCGATTCATTTTCCAAGATGTAGGACTGCCAACTCCCCCGAAATAGAAAGAAAATGCATCTTGAAGATTAAGATACACACAACAATCCGTAAGTGCGTCAGAATTTTCAGAATTTGCGGTTCGCTGAAACTCTCGAAATAAACAATTAAATGTTACTGCACATCTGAAGCTATCGCAAGTGGATAGCGCCGTAGATATAGAAAAACAGCGATCGCAACCGATCCGTCCAAAACACGATATAATGTCGGGTCTGCAAAACACCTCGGAGGCCGTTGCAGTGCTCGCTTCCCTGGGACTCGGACTGGTTCTGCTCATGTTCGTGGCCACCACGCCGCCGGCAGTTGAGGCCACCCAGTCTGGGATTTACATAGACAACGGCAAGGACCAGACGATCATGCACCGGGTGCTGAGCGAGGACGACAAGCTGGACGTCTCATACGAGATCCTCGAGTTCCTGGGCATCGCCGAACGGCCGACGCACCTGAGCAGCCACCAGCTGTCGCTGAGGAAATCGGCTCCCAAGTTCCTGCTGGACGTCTACCACCGCATCACGGCGGAGGAGGGCCTTAGCGAACAGGATGAGGACGACTCCTACGAACATGGTCATCGGTCCAGGAGGAGCGTTGACCTCGAGGAGGAGGAGGGCGACCAGCAGAAGAACTTTATCACCGACCTGGACAAGGAGGCCATCGACCAGAGCGACATCATCATGACCTTCCTAAACAAGCGCCACCACAACGTGGACGAACTGCGTCACGAGCACGGCCGGCGTCTATGGTTCGAAGTATCCAATGTGCCGAGCGACAACTACCTGGTGATGGCCGAGTTGCGCATCTACCAGAACGCCAACGAGGGCAAGTGGCTGACCGCCAACAGGGAGTTCACCATCACGGTCTACGCCATAGGCACCGGCACGCTGGGCCAGCACACCATGGAGCCGCTGTCCTCGGTGAACACCACCGGGGATTACGTGGGCTGGTTGGAGCTCAACGTGACCGAGGGCCTTCACGAGTGGCTGGTCAAGTCGAAGGACAATCATGGCATCTACATAGGAGCACACGCTGTTAACCGACCCGATCGGGAGGTGAAGCTGGACGACATTGGACTGATCCACCGCAAGGTAGACGATGAGTTCCAGCCCTTCATGATCGGCTTCTTCCGCGGACCGGAGCTGATCAAGGCCACGGCTCACAGCAGCCACCATAGGAGCAAGCGGAGCGCCAGCCATCCTCGCAAGCGCAAGAAGTCGGTGTCGCCCAACAACGTTCCGCTTCTGGAACCCCTGGAGAACACGCGCAGCTGTCAGATGCAGACCCTGTACATAGACTTCAAGGATCTGGGCTGGCACGACTGGATCATCGCCCCAGAGGGATACGGCGCCTTCTACTGCAGCGGCGAGTGCAATTTCCCGCTCAACGCGCACATGAACGCCACGAACCATGCGATCGTCCAGACTCTGGTCCACCTGCTGGAGCCCAAGAAGGTGCCCAAGCCCTGCTGCGCTCCTACCAGGTTGGGAGCACTCCCCGTTCTGTACCACCTGAACGACGAGAATGTGAACCTGAAAAAGTATAAAAACATGATTGTGAAATCCTGCGGGTGCCATTGAATTCAATTTACCACTTAGGCTAAGCACTATAAAGCATTTCTGTGTAGATGTCCATCTCTGTACTAATCTCGAATATTTTTATAGAAATATACAGCGCTGTACCTAACTGAAGTTCGTCCTTTGAAGACTTTCATTTGTGGCTAATTATGCAATTAGAGTATTAAAAGATACGTCTTTATTTTCTCACATCAACTTATGATTGGGATGCACATTTCAGACTGTCAACAATTAGGTAAAAACTACGATGCTTGCAAACAAGTCCATTCCATTTCGCTTATGGTACTTAAAAATACGTATTTTGATTTCGATTAGCGTTCACTTAAATGAAATGCGTTTAAAATTAATATTCACTGCACAGCAATAAAAGGCACAATCAAGTCCTACTTCGTTCACCACGTACGGATTATTCTTAATTTTTTGTAATCTGAATTAGCATAGAAGATACGCCCGAGGCACTAGGCTTTATCGCTTGTGAATCCAGTGGTGTCGGAAGGCAAACAAATCCATAATTAAGTTTCCGACACGTTTGTCAATTAGAGCAGACATTAGGCGACCATCAAACACTGGTATCTTCACATTTAACGACACACACGCATCTCTGAAAGGAAAGCACATTAGATGGGATAGCCATTTGAATAGCAACTTGAATCGGACTTACAAAATTTCAAACACAGGAATGTTGTTCCGGAAGTACTCCTTCAACACAAATACACCATTGACTGTTTTAGCTCGACTAATGCTGAGCATCACGTCTGGATCCTTTCTGTACAGGATCACAAAGATATGTCTGTTGGGTGTCTCGATCGGTCTGACAAACTTAGCGAGAACACTTTCAATAAAGGCTGGCGTGTTTTTGCTGTGGAACTCCTCGCAATCGCCGCCTGCGTAGAGCACGAAGAACTGCCTCTCGATGAAATGCGAATTGAAATGGTGTGGTTTCGGTGGCGTGTTCTCCTCTACTTCCCGGGCCCAACTGAATTGGGCGTTGACGGCGAGCAGATACAAGGATGGCAGCTGAGGAGTTGGTAGAAAGGTTATAGGCGGAGGCTTAGAGAAGCCCACGAAAACATCCTCGCTCTCGAAGATCTTCGATAGGGTATCAGTGAGCAACGTGTAGTGGGAAACTGGCTCGGAGTCGCGGCGCCACATCTCCAGCTCGCTGCAGTGCTTCAGCAGATCGTGGTACATTCGAAAGAAGTAATGACGCGTTCGCATCATCATTTCCGCAGTAGCCTTGGACATAACCATCCAGATCCATTCGTCTATAAAGACGTTAACGTTGCGATCGGTCAAACTCGTTTCACTGTCGCAAATCGAGGAGAGGTGAATCCGTGGATGTCCTAAATAACACGAAATCAATAATTACCAGGTTATAATAACATAAAGGTCATTCGAATTTACCAGAAAACATGGCGACAGCCAGGGGAACGACCAGGGTGGCGTACACGATGTGGTTCTTCTGCTTGTTGCACACAATCCACGGTGTGCGGAAGTTTTGGGCCGAAATGTTTAGTGGCTCCAAGAAATCCCTGAGCACGGTGTTCGGGTGCATGTAAATATTCCCTGAAAAGGCTGACTTTAGGGCACTCTTCCTAGCGTCCACTGCACAAATGTTCGGATACATCCCACCCGTCAAGGCCGCCTTAACCATGTGCCAATTGCCGGACATCTGGTTGAGATTGTTCATGCTCAGCTTGCCTCGGCTGTGGATCAAATTGGCTGCACGCAAGGAGCTCACAATCTCGGAACGAATAGAGGTGAGGTACTCCATCAACCCATTCAGCATAAAATCATATTCATCCTTAAGGTATAGAGGCGGTGTTCTGTTGTGCATTCGATTTTGCCACTCCTTATACAAGCGCACGAAGATAAAGTGATCGGAAAACTGATTGTCGGACAGGAAGGCCCGCTCCTTCTTGATGCTGTTCTGGATGTAAATGGTGAACCTGTCCCACAAGTGGTCGATGTCCTCGGTAAACGGAATGCCCAACGGATCCGCCGTCGACAGAGAGCTGACTATTGTGAGTATTGGATCCAGACAGCGCAGCAGAATGCCGAAGATCAGCATGCGGCCGAGTTGGCAGTTAACCGGAATGTCCATTAGCCGGCAGCCCAGCCAGGTCACATCCTCGGCGTCATCCAGCACGTCTATTTTCTTGAGGAACTGCACCGCATGGTGCAAGTTGATCAGCGGTGGTGGTGAGATGGTCAGACCCAGATATTCGCTTATAATCATATTGGGCGAGAGGAATTTTATTGCCAGGCAGATCTTGTCCAGCGGCATAGTTTGCAGACTAGGCTGACTTGTCTCGCCAAGCTCTTCATAGGCCTCCTTCTTTATCAGACGGAAGCATTGTGCATCCCCGTCTACGAAAAACGCAATGCATCAGTGAGTGTCAGCTACTTATGATGAGTACTTACTATTGGGGTGAAGGATTAACTCCCTTCGCAGGAAGGAGTCCTTGGCCACCCATTCGAATCGATCCTCGCCGCTGTAGCTTGTGGTATCGTAAACATTGTTTACCCGGCAGGCGGTGTCTATTTGGTACTTGAAAGGAACCTTCAGGCAGAGCGATTCGATTATCTCCGTGGTCAGCACCACCTTCACCGTGTCATCGCGAGCATTGACAAGCGCCTCGACGTAGTCCTTTCTCATATTATCGTACAGCAGGAATATGGAGCACTCCTGTAGGCTGCCAGTGAGGCAGTGGCTCAGGATCATATAGTTCAGCTTGACAATGTGGTAGTAGGTGGGCAAAATGATGAGGATGTTGCCTGCAAGTAAGAATAGTAGTAGTCTTTCTCTAATCTTCTAATCTTCAAGGAAATTTATTAAGAGCAGCCTGTTAGCGTTTGCTTCAAATCGGTTTAATTTATTAAATCTGATTTACAAAGTTACCTATACATAAATAAACGCGGCGACTCTCCATTCGTATAAACTAGGTTTCAAGACAGACACTCATTACTAAAATAGATCATATTACTAAATGGCTTGACATCTTCGGCTAAAACTAATATAACTATTTAACAGACATAGGCATGTATGTGTTCTTTCGTGTAGAGGCGGCGCGACTTCTGGTCGGTGATTTGTTCACGAGGTGAGACGATATAGCAGTATCTAAGTTAACTGGAGCTGGAGCTGGAGGTGGAGCATTGGGCTATGAGCGCGTTGTGCTCTCCAAGTCCTTGATCTGTCGCAGGATCTCCGACTTCTTTTTCACCTTGTCCAGCTGGTCCTTGTCCAGCTTTTTCTGCTCTCCGGCTTGGATCCTGCTCTCGATCTGTTCGATTTCACGGATTTTCTTGCGTAGCTTTTTTAACTGCTTGGCGGGGTCCACCTCCTGGGGGGCGTCCAGCTTCAGGGCGTCCTCCAGGGTCTTGGATATCGAGTTGATATCCAACCCAGAGGTCGGCTGCTGCTGCTGACTGACTTTGGGTGTCGGACACGTGCTGGGCGGCATGACGAGAACGCCGGGCGCCGGCGCCTTTTGCTGCCTGCCAGATTCCTTCTCCTGCTTCTTAGCCCTAGTCCGCTCCTGCTTCTCGCGCTCCTTCTTCGACTCGGCGGCCACCAGGGGACACATACCAGGCGGCACTCCGGCCTGGCGCTGCGCCACGAACTGCTTGCCCTTGCTCTCGTAGAGCGGCACCTCCTCCTGGGGCACGTAGCCATCCTTGACGCGACGCGCCTTGCGCCAGGTGCCATCCGGCCGCTTGGTGGCCGGTATGAACTTGCCCTCGCTGCTCTGTAGGTAGGTGCTCATATTGCTGCTTCTATAAAAAACAATGCCCAATTGCCAGGCGATACTAATCGATAGCTTTGGCATTGAGGATGGAACTTTTTGCGCGGCGAGCACGAATTTTCGCGCGATTAATCGTTGGAGCTTAGAGAACCAGTCACTGTCAGCCGTTTCAAGCATACTTTTCAAATCGTAGTTTGAATTTGATCTCAAACCGTGATTCTTTCAAACATTCTACCCGCTTATACCAATTTTAACCATTTTTTAACTTAATTATTCACTAAATATGCTTCTTAAACTACTTAAAAGCACACTCACCTGGCGAATACTCCGGTTTGGTACGCAATAGATACATTATGTCAATGATGAGATCGTAGTCCATGAAATCCGGCTTGGCGCTCTTGACCACATAACCGTGCAGGCTGTAGCTGTTCAGAACATCGATGCACTCGTGGTTGCCGTTCATGGCCGCCAGCGAGATGGCGTTCTGCTGGTACAGGTCCACGATGTAGGGATCGGCGCCCATGAACAGCAGCAGGCGGAGATGATTGGCCTTGTTTAGCTCGGAGGCAAAGTGCACCGCCGTTTTGCCGTTCTGCGAGTGGCGATAGTTCACAGGAGCCAGGTCGTAGTTAACGGCATACAGAAAGGGACGTAGGGCGGCATCCGTGCCCAACTCTCCGTAGGCCTGCAGGCACTTGTCCATCTGCTCGTTGCGCGGGTTGTTGGAGCGGAAAGCCTCCGGGACCTCCTTGTAGATGTCCGGACCCTTGTGAATTCCGGCCAGGGCAATGCAGCTGTGCAGGTCGTTCAAGTAGGAGACGCGGGGTCCGACCTCCTGCTGCGTAATCATATTCAGTTGCGATCCTTCGCCAAAGAAGTCGATGAACTTCTTGGGGTCCTCCATTTGCGACAGCAGCACCACCCTCAGGTTTTGATGGCTATTCAAGGCCATGCGGATCTCGCTCAGCAGGATGTCGGCATAGGGATCATGCAGGTGCACATCGTTCATCACCAGGTGACTGATGTTGCGAAATTGCTGGTTGGTCAGGGAGCGCAGAAAGTACTGGGCCGTCGAGAAAATAATGAAAGTGCTGGAGCTAACGGCGCTGAAGTACGGTAACTGGATGCCCACCGTCTCGCCCAGCTGCTCGCCAAAGAAGTTGGCTATTCGCTGACTGTTATAGGTGGCCAGAATGGCCTGCCTTTCGATGCAGATGATCTTCACGTTGGACTTCTTGTTCCGGCAGTCATCCAAAATGATCAGGGGCAGGAAAACGGGCTTGTCCCAGGAGAGAACGGCGTTAAACACGACAACCCGATTGGCGTACAATGACTGCATGATCTCCTCTTTCAGCGGGTAACCCGGAAAAGCAGTCAAGAACTTTAGCTGCGCCTCCGTCCAAAAGCGCAGGTTTGGGGGACGTATGGCGGGCAGCGGCAGATGCAGTGAGGGCAAATCCGAGGCACTGGCCTTGAGGGGGACTAAGTCCGCGGACAGCTCCATATCCTCCCTGACCATGAACGACTTTCTGCCCAGCAGCGTGAACATGTTCAGCGTGGCACCCGAGGACAGTACCAGCGTCTTGGGCTCCTCCAGGTAGTGGCGACACGCCTGCTTGTACACCTTCACACAGTTGTTCCCATTCACATGGACCACCTGCGATCGCAGCCCTAAGGAGCGAGCGCTGTTGGCGAAGGCTTCGTGTTCGCTGGTTCGGAAAGTGCACGGGAACTGCTGGCAGCAGCGCCTGCCCGCTATGAAGTAGAGCAGCTGCTGCGGAATGTACTTGTCCTGGATTATGTGGTTCATTTCGGAGGAGATCACATCTGTTTGCCACAAAACTACGCAAAGTGCGCGGCAATTTGCGCGTCAAATGTAAATTCCGTTATTGTCGCCTTCGTATAAGTAGCAAAATGGCGGAATGGAACGAGCAGGGTTGTATTTTCGCTGATGCAAAGCTTGAGCATTAGAGTAATTCCACGCGTTTACTCAAACAAATTTGTAGAGTGGAAAATTGAAAAAAGGTGTACTACAAACTTAAATATAAAGCATACTATGTTAATCATTTGAGAATAAAATACACCCTGTAAGCCGGGAGGTTCGTTTGTAAGAATATACTATAATATCATTGTTTAGTCAGGTTGCAATCCACAAGATGTTATTCAAATAAAAGCAATCATGTTATTGTACTAATGTTCTTCTGAATTCTTTATTATTTAGAGTATTTTAAATTAGTGTACAACTTATATGAATTCTCCTCTAAAATGAGGCTGTGCCAATTCGTTTGGATGTCTTAAATTCGTTTGAATTGTCTAAAATGAGGCTGTGCCAATTCGTTTGGATGTCTTAAAGAAAACTTTGTTATAATGAAAATTCTCCACAGATCCAGCAAAAGTGCACAATCTGTATAAGTAAACATACCTAGTAAGCTAAAATAAACAAAATAGAAATCAAATTCGATCAATCCTACTTAAAGTACACCATTCGAGCAACTTTATACTGAGCTTTGGCGCAGAATTTATTTCGAAGTGTATTCTATAAATTGTGTTATTAGCCATCCAGTGTCATCTTGCTTACAATTATCAAAATATCTAGTATATATTAAATACAATTCTTAACTTGTTTATATGTGGAATACATATATATTTAAGTAAGCTACAGAGGTTTTGGTTATCGTTAACCACATTAAATGGTACCAACTCATCTAGCAGGCACCGCCTTAAAGAAAGTTTGACTTCTCCACGGAGTTTTGAGATCCGCTGCTCTGGTTCGACCAACCGCTGTTCCCGTTCTGGAATGGCAAATACAATATGGGTGAGTTCCAAGACTTTTTAGGGAATTGCACTATGTATATACCTGTGGGTCATTGCAGCCTGAGTTGTCGGTCTTCATTCCGTTGGCGCCCGGATTGTTCGGGTTATTCGGTCCCTTCCGTCCACCAAAGTTGGCGTTGTTGTGGCCCCCGTTCTGAGCCATCCAGGATAAAAAATTGCCGCCCTGCGGAGTAAGTGAAAGAGTTTTTTGTTTGAAACAATGATAGAGGTGTAGAGGCTTGCCTGCTGGTCCTGGTTTTGGTTCTGCAGCTGGTTGCCGACCAAGCTCCACTGGTTCAAGGCGGCAGCGACCAGGGCAGGATTGATGGGCAGTGAGTTGAGATTGAGCATTGACTGGTTGCTCATGTTCTGGCCCTGGTTTGATGAGCTTGATCCCTGCGAATTGATGCCCAGCGCCTGCAGGTTAGGCATGTCCAGGGGGCCACGGTTCATCCAGCCGTTGCTGCCGCCCACGTTCCCGTTGTGAGGCTGGTTCATTCCGTGATAATTCGCTTGCCTACTGCTGTACTGGCTGCCGCCGTCCTGGCGATTCGAGTTCCCGCCACTGGAGTGATTGCTGCCATTGTTGTGGTAACCCCCGCCCGAGTTGCCGCCGTAATTGTTGCCACCCATGCCGTAGCCGGCGGTGCCAATGTTGTTGTGATTACTGGCGATGATTGAGTTCTCACCACCGTGAGCATTGTGTTGGTTATTACCTCTGTGGTGTCCGTTGCGGCCGGGATTCATGTGGTTACCCTGCGGGTGGTATGAGTGCATGCCAAAGCTGTTGGCCGAGTTGTAGTTGTAGCTCTGGGCCTGCTGGTTTCTGTTCTGCTCGGCCTTTGGGGCAGCATTCGACACATGGACCGAAACGCCTGGGGAAATTGACTTAGTAATTGATTGATTATTCTCCAAACTACAGTGACTCACCCTTGATTATATGATCCTCTCCGCACAGGGACTGTGCCACGTCTGGATCGAGGAAGGTTACAAAGCTGAAAGCTCTGAAGGGTCGCGGAATGAACACGTCGGTGACTTCGCCAAATTTGGAGAAATACTCGCGCAGGTCGTCCGAGTTTATGTCCTCGGTGCAGCGACCCACGAATACCTTACAAGGCACCTGGTGGCCCATGCCCTGAAAAATCAGAGGGATTAGTAGGTGTGCAATTTGAAGACATTGGAGAGGACTCACCTTTGAGTTGGGCACCTTAACTTCGCACCAGCGACCGTCGATGAGGTGACGATTGGAGAGCACGCGCATTTGGGCATCATAAGAGCCAAAGCGCACAAACCCGAAGCCCTTGGACTGACCCGACTTGGTGTCCTTCTTGATTTGGGCCATCAGCACCTCGCCGTACGTCTCGAAGTACTCACGCAAACTCTCCTCTGTCGTCTTCCAGGGCAAGCCGAGCACGATAAGATCAGTGCAGCGGAGACGGGTCTCAATGCGTTTGGTCTTGGCTGTTGAGTTCTCCAAGTTATCGTCGCTCTTGCGCTTATTCTCTGTAGGGGATTACAGAATTAGATCGAGCTGATGAGAGTTCCACAACTGAAACTTACCCTTGGGAAAGACACAAAAGTACAAGTACTCCCCCCAACCGGATTCCACGCTGGGCGGAAACAGTCTGCCCTCGTTGGAGCGAACTCCGCGCACCGCCTTTGTGTCCAGGTTGCGATACTTCAGACCGCAAGATCCAGGGAATTGCGCCTGCAGGGTGGACAGCAGCAGAGTGCCATCCTCCTCAGCCGGCAGCTCGATGGGCTCGTCACCCTCCTCCTCCGACACTTGAACGAAATCCATCTCCTAGGAGGCTGCTAGAAACGAGAGGGCATTAAAGAAATCTATCGCCGCAGGGGGCTCACACTTCGCTCTAGAAATGATCCACCATGTCATTCAATCAACTGAAGCATCCCACATATTCTGCATCGCTGCATTCATGAATGCACTCACTCAGTTCATCCGTTCTATCCAGATGCATCCCACAAAAAGGTTTCCCGGAACCACTCTATACACACATTATATATAAGGTCCACCTACTAATACAACTGAACAAGAATGTAAAATCTTCCAATATCTTTACACTTTCTTTCACATAATAAAAACTAAGAACTTAAAATACAAACATATTCTTATTATTGGTGCTCATTAGGTGTCTCTTTCAGTTAATCTATTAGGAAACTCTCTAAATATCAATAGGTCTTCGGACGATAAGTTTTAGTAAAATGTCAATTCTACGTAAATTTAGTTATTAAACAAAAGATATTTATGTTTATGTACATATTTTGAAGCACATATTTTGAACTACTCAAGTATACAGATATTTCACCCACTTATTAAAAGTAATCTGACATTTGTGAGTGTGGAATCGCGATGGGAATCGGAAAATCAATGAATGAAAACCCCATAAATTAAATACAGATATCCAATCCTGGCATCTGTATGTGTGCAAGTGTATGGCACACACACACGAGCCACACACACACAAGCGCAATCGGCGGGAGGAGGACAAATGGGTAGACGACGCAGTTCGGCGGTCCTAAAAGGTGGTTACACAACAATTCTTACTCTATTAATAGGGATTAGATGCTGGCTTGAATTTCTGACTCTGCGTATGGCAAGTAGATATAGATTTCTGATCACAGATCTCAGATCGCACGCTCTCTCACACGAATTCGATTCACACCCAGGCAAAATCAGGTATTCACTGTACGTTCCACGCTCGGTTTTCGACACAACACACGCTTTCGCTGCACATCCACTTTCAATCGGTGCGAAATAGGAAACAGGTAATATTTACAATTGATAGCTCAACAATTTTTCTACAGACGAGAGAACCATATTTTCCTGGTCTTCTGTTTCGATTTTCTTTTCCTTTGTATGTATCGCATGACGTATGCGCAGTGTGGCCGAGCCAGGGCTAGTGCGAAATACCCACCGGCAGGAAAAAATACTAAAACACTAAAAATACTCCGTTCCCATCCTTCCAATTAAAACCAATTAAATCGGAGCTTGTTACATATATGCACTGCACTTTAATGGCACTTTTATTGAACTATATGTGCGTTGACTTCCTTAAGTAAGATAAGCCTCATGTGGGCGCTGTCAAAGACATATGACGATTACACTGCGATTACATTGGGGCTTGATACTGTCATATGAAATACTAGGACTAGCAGTGCTGCCCAGCAGCGAATATTGCTTGGCAGCATTGTGCTGTCAACTGTTTGAAATCAAACAGTTAAATAATTCTTTTCTTGGTATTTAAATTTAATTTATTTCATTCAGATGAACACCACAAAAGTATTCTACGGGTTTTCCCAAAACTTAAGATGAAATTAACCTCCCAGATCTAATCTAATCCATCTGGTTCCACTATCACCGCGCTACCCACTCTTCTGCGATCGCAAACGGGATGTGGCTCAGTGCCCATGATTCCAATGGCCGTCTGAGCGGAGTATGCCTTGTCGTCCTCCAGAAATCTGATGTCGTGTCCAATGGCTCTCAAATAGGCTACAGTGTGCCTGGGAACATTCGGTTCCATGTCGATGTGCATTGGCGCCAGCTGGTGATGTAGTCGTCCCGAATTCACCGCCTTCTCAATCGGTTCGTTGAGCACAAAGTACCTTAATATAGTCTGGGCCACGGAGGTGGTGATTTTGGAACCCCCGGCACCACCCACAATCAGTTTAACATTCCCATGGGTATCCAAAACGATGCTGGGACACGTGGAGGACATCGGCCGCTTGCCAGGTTTGATATAGTTGGCGGGACTGGCGGGTATGCCATAGGTATTTATCTTTCCGGGCGTACTGAAGTCGTCCATTTCGTCGTTCAGGATGAAGCCTGTTTGGCGGGACCTCACTTTGGCTCCCAAATGGCTGTTTATGGTACTGGTCACAGAGATGGCATCGCCATTTGGTGCCAAAACGGATATGTGCGCCGTACCATGATCCTCTTCATTGGCAAAATTGGCTCCGTAGTACGACATGTCCTCGAACGTCCTGTCGTCCAAAATAAGTTTGCGAATCTGAGCGGCAAAGGCCGGATCTATAAGATTTTCGTACACTTCCTGGACATCTGGTTCATAGTGGATGTCGCCCAAATTGGTACGATGCCCGTAGGCGTGCTTGAAAGTCTCCACCAAACGCTGCCAGTACTTGTCCGTATTGCTCGTATACAGCGGTTCCATCACATTCAGCATAAAGGTTAACACGGCCCCACTGGTGGGCAGTGTGGAGGTGAGTAGCTTGTAGCCGCCATTGAAGTGGGAGTGGAGCGGCACTTCCCAGCGAACACTGCAATATCAACTACTTTAGGGCCATTATGTTTTGAGTGTTATAAGCTCTATACTTACTGGTAATTCTGCAGATCCTCTTCGGTGACAATACCTCCCATGGCCTGGATATCCTCGACCAGTTTCCTGCCCACCCTGCCGCCCCCATAAATTGCTTTGGCGCCCTCATCCGCGATGATTTCCAGGGTTTCGGCCAAGGTGTGACGGTACATGACCTCGCCCTCCTTGTACACCTCATCCGTTTTCGGATTGATAAAAATCTCGGCCATGGAGGGCTCGCTTCTGATACGCTCTTCCTCGCGTTGCAGGACTCCGGAGAGGTATCTGGAGACTAGGATGCCACGTCGGCAGAGATCAATGGTGGGCTGGAAGAGCGTTTTCCAGGGCAGGCGGCCATACTTGTCGTGCAGCTCGGAGTAGCCATAGATTTCGGCTGGAACGGCACAGGATAATGCGCCTGTGATTTCTGTTCCGACGAACATGTCCCGCGTGGCCGCAGCTGGAGCGGTTTCGCGGGCAATTAGAACCTCACTGAATTCGGTCTCTCTGGAGTAAATGGTGGCAACGAACCCACCGCCCACGCCCAAGCTGTGGGGCAGCATAACGCCCTCGCACAACATGGTGGCTATTGCCGCATCAGCCGCAGATCCTCCGATATCCAGCATGGAGCCGCCCACCTCCGCACATCCCACGCCATTCGAGGCCACGGCGCCAATGCGACGGGTCTCCTCCGCCTTGCTCCGGAGTCCAAAGACCAGACCCAAGGTCACACCCAGTGCGGTCACCGCCAGGATAATCCAGCAGACGGCATACTTCTTGCAGCACCTGGAATAAGATCACGGATTGACGGATTTATAATACTTAAGCTGGTAAGTGCGATTCATTTCGGGGGGACACTTGCCATCGAATCGGTCACCGTACCCGACTAATAGGTCACCAAAGGCGTCGAAAAGCTCCCCGTACAACATGTTCAACTGAACTCTGACATATTCGGATTCCGGGCTGAGCTTCCATCGGCTGCTGCGATCGAAAGACCCAATCCATATCCTATATCACTCCTATATTATATTTTCATCCTCTTCTCGCAGTATTTTTTATGAATTCGTAGATAACACCATTGGGAACTTACGACATTTAATGTGTGTATCCTTAAACTACGAACTTCAATTGGAAGAAGCTAAAGAAAATTATATGAGTACCAATGAAAGAATTAATTAAATGGAAATCGCACGGCATAAAGCGCTTTATATATCCCTTCGTTATCTGTTTTTAATTGAAGATAAGACAAGAAACCATCGCCCAATGTAAGCCGTTTAGAATCCATATCCAAAACTGTGAGACGTCAGAAATAGAAAGTTTGGTGTGACTCAGAGGCCGGCGAGAACTAAAGAAGTAAAATCAGCACTAGCGAATTAATTGTTAATCGTATAACGTATTATTTTATCTGGCGGCTGGTGATAAGCCAACTTAAGGTCGATCTGAAACGTTTTCTAGGCTAAAAACAGGTGAATAGCGAACCGTGAAGAAAAACTAATCTATATAAATGACCAATAACAGATTTTAATAGGAAGTCTGCTAGACTTTAACCTTGTATTCGCCATGTTTTACTGCATTCTGTTTATTCTGTTTGAATTGAGGGCTTAAAAATCAACTAAATATTATTCTGGCAACGTCAATCAGTGTGTCATAAGGAATTTATCTTTAATTGATAATCATACAAGCAATAGCTTTCAGGATTAGTAAAATACAAAACCCAAATAAACTAAGGGTTATTTAACAACGATTTTTTCAATTCAAATTATGAATATTCTGGTTGGTGTTTTAGTATTTTTCGTAGCACACATCGATATGCAATCGATAAGCGATATTTTGATGTACATCGGCCGGCTGGAAATCTGTGAACATACATATGTATGTGTATCCAACTTCGTTCTGATTGAAATTGTTTTCCCATAAATTTTATATAGATTTATATAAAACGGGATAAAAAACAAAAGGAGAACATTGTGTGTGTTAAAGCCCAACTTTTTTTAAGTGGAACATGTATTAATCGGCAACCCCGCGCCCTCCGCGCTAAAATCTTGAATAATCAGCATCTTTAGGATAATAAAGGAACCAAAATATAAATAAATGCCAACGAAAATATGTACATAGTAAAAACACCAAGACTTTATTAATCAATAACATTTATTATATACAGCTGAAGGAGTTTCGATTGCTCTTGCAGACCGCGCTTGAATGACAAAATGCATTAGTTTGTTTCGAAATATTAATGATTGGCTAACAATTATGATACATTATTTATACACAATTAAAAAAGGCATCGCTGATTTGCACTACACAAATATTATTGTATTTTCTCGTAATATTAGTAAAATCACAGTGAAATATTACTGCACGCCGTAGAGTTGAAAATGTAGTTCTGGGCCTCCAGAATGTGCATTTCAGTTAAACATATAGCAACTAACAGGATAATATAACCGCTGTACCGGATCGCGCGCAGGAAGTCCCACAGCTTGTCGCAGAAGATGCTCAGCAGGACGCAGTGCAGCAGGGCGTGCACGTTGACGATGCGCCACATCCAGGCGACGCAGAAGAACCAGCTTGACTTGAACACGTAGTCCTGGCAATGCGACTGGTTGCCAGTCACGTCCTCCCGCTCCAGCATGTTCTGGTAGACGGCAATGTAACGATTCCACGCCGTTGAGCTCAGCAGCAGCTGGCCCGTGAAGCTGATCACGTTCTTAGCCACCTTACGTGTGGTGGCCTTCATCTTCGGTATCATCATGGTGGGCTCCGGCAGCTTGGAGTCGCTCATCGGTATGATGGAGTAGCCCCTCCGCGGTGGATTGTTCTTCAGGTAAAAGAATATGCCCAGCAGCAGGGCAATGCAGCCGAGTCCGTCGCACAGACCGTCCACATAGTAGCCGGATGTGCCGATCTCCGAGCGCTCGCCGCGTATGTGCTTGCGCACGCGCGCCACATGCCCGTCCAGGTCGTCCAGGAAGGTGCGGATCTGGAAGAGCAGCACGCCCAGACGCCGATAGCCCAGGCTGTCCGATGCCACTAGTTTGCCCGCCAGACAGGCCACACCCACGTGGAAAAACGAAATCATGTTGGGCGTGATGAAGGTGGAGCGCGAGAAGCCGATCACGTTGTCGAACATGGTGGCCAGCGGGGCGAACAGGTAGTGGTTGGTGTGGTCCAGCAAAATGGCCTTCACGGTCACATGGCATAGCGGGTTTATATCACAGGATATCCAGGTGTGGTCCTCGTAGGACGGCTGCCGGTCGCCGGCGGTGGGGAGTTTCGTACTGGTGCTGATGCTACTGCTGCTGCTGCTGATGCTGCCGGACCCGGACTCCGAGGTGGACTGACCCACGACGGACGCGGGCAGCGAGACATTCGTGTGGTAGTTCCGCTCGATGGCGTAGTTGTGGATGCGCAGGTAGAGCTCCACGTCCATGAAAACGTAGAAGATGATCAGCACGAACAGCAGGGTGAGCAGGATCTTGCTGATCTGCGAACTTGGACCGATCATGGTGACACTTTGAGGTAGCGCTTAACACTATGTTGTTATCGGGCTGATTTCAGGGAGCAACTGCAAGGTGGAAAGAGGTGGGCTGATCAGTATGGTGTATCAAAGGTGTTTCCAAAGTAATTGGCAAGATAAGCTGCGCACGACATAAAAAGTGTGGTACGCCAGCATACATTGTTTTGAAAGAAATATTAGCGCATCATAACGATCATTAAAAAGCGAAAGCTAACTAACCACTGGCAATGCATTCTTATCGAAGATGATTTTGGGGAGCGACCGCAGTGACGAATAAGGAACAACAGGGCAATATGGTACTGAATGACTAAATCGGTTCACTTGGGCACCAACACATGCACACACACCCCCTATTCCGACCAACTAGCGCACTATCTACTCTACTCTAGTCAGTGGCGCCCTATCTGCAGGTATTTGCAGAAGCTTTTGGCGAGGCGCTGGGAATTATAGCCGCTATTAGTAACCTTTTAACTGCCAATGCCGATTAACGGGGCTTCTAATTGGCTGCAGGTGTGTGCGTGCACGCAGCAATCCATCACACACACCCATTGGGCGTGCGTGTGTGTGTGTGGAGAAGTGCCCCTTGATAAGTGGGCATATGGTATATGGTAATAGGAGCCATTCATTGGCTGGAATTGATGATCGAAGTGATATTGCTGATATAGGCGATATGTGTGGCAATAGCGTTTGGGAATTTGCACTCACCGCCTTGCTGAAACATTGCAAACGAATATACACTGTATCAAAACATTGCAGTATTTATTACTGCGATGGGGGTAATTGCGAGCAACTTGTTGGAGTCGCAGCCTGCAGTCACTGTGGCACTTAGACGTAGTCAACAACAGCACTTAGATATATAGTTTATACTAAAACACACGGATAAATGTAAAAGTTTATGTTAATTGTTCGTAAATTTCGTAAATTAATGACCGAGCAGTGTGGCCAGCGTAGGCGAAATATCGTTCAGCAGCGATGGCACCCAACGCTATCGATAACATTTCAGGCAGCCCGCAGTGTGCACCTCCGGTCACACTGGCCTGTTAAACTTTTTAACTTCAGTCTATTTTGATAGTTTTAAATTGTTGTATTAGCCATTGATTACTTTTCTAACACAAGACCATGATTGCGAGGGCCCTGAGGACGGTGGGCCAGCAGGGCCGTAACCTCTTGCTGCCGCGCAGCACCGCATGTCGCCCGCTTCACGCGATTCCGGCTAACTTCAGCAAGGCCTACGACTACGACGGGAAAACAAAAGTCACCATCTTCAACACCGAAACGGATCTGGGCCTCATGGTCACCGGTTACAGCCAGTACGGATTCCGGCTCAACAACGACATGGTCCTCATTGGTCCCATCTCCGTGTTCCCCAGGTTTGTGGCCATCGTCGGATGCACTGGGTCCCCCAATTATGTAAACAAGTGCATGTGGTTTACGCCATGGCACTCTGATCCTTCAATTTCAATCCTCGAAGTTCAATTATGCAGGCCTTCATTTTCTTTAGCAAAGGTCAAGGAGCTGTATTGAAAAAGTCAAAGAATTTGACTACTTTCATTTAAAGTGTCATACTACAACACTTTGATCTCAAATCAACCAATAATTCTTAACGATTTTTTTGTAGTATTAACACTTTAAATATTTCTATAACTTCTTAGGTTATTAGCACATTTTCACAGCATTGCCTGTATTTCGAATACACTTTAAAAACGTTTTACGATTTAAAAATATTTTGGAACGGTCCATGTTAGTATGATGCTGTTGACCTAAAATCTATTAGTAGTAACAAATAGTTTTGTTAAATATGAAGCTAACGCTTAATTTTACGTGTCGATATTTCCAGATCGGTTCTGTCCTGGAACGTAAACAGTTTTGAGGACATCAACGAGGACAGTCTCAGCCTCTTCCCAATCCTAGAGCCAAAAATTGACGTTCTAATCATTGGCATTGGCGACCAAGCGCCACCGCCAGCTCTTTCCAAGAGGATCATAGAATTCATGAAGAAGTACAAGATAAACGTAGAGGTCCTGCGCACGGAGCAGGTACGTACTTCTCTCCCTGTTTAAGATCCGTATTGAATAGCACTATTTGCAGGCATGTGCCACCTTCAACTTCCTGAATGCCGAGAACCGAATGGTGGCCTGCGCCCTGATACCCCCACTGCACCTCACCTACAACGAAAACGACATTCTGCAAGCGAAGCTGCGGAAGAAGGAGCTCTACGAGACCGAATAGGATAACTTAGACACATCTAATGATTGTTAAAAAGGCTGGTGCTTTGTTAGAAATTAAACTGTTTTGTAAAATTCAGATTTCTTCATTCGTAATAGACGTAGTTGTAAAGTGTATAAAAGCTAGCAATCTCGCAGTCAAACTGCACTCTCCTCCTTGTCGATTAATTGGCGATTTCAGTCGGCGGTGGCGCCCGGATACCGCTCAATAAGCATGGCCACGCCCTGTCCTCCGGCCGCGCAGGCGGCGACCACTCCCAGCTTGCCATCCTCGCGGACCAGGCGGTTGGCCGTGTGCATGCAGAGGCGGACTCCTGTGGCAGCGAAGGGGTGGCCGATGGATAGAGAACCGCCCCAGTTGTTCCACTTGGATAGATCGGGGGCGCCGACCTTCTCATTTAGGCCCAAGTACGTCTTGCAGAACCAGTCGGAGTCGAGGGCCTTTAGATTGGCCACGATCTGTCCGGCGAACGCCTCGTGGATCTCCCAGGAGTCAATGTCCTTCAGGGTGAGTCCAGACTTCTTAAGCAGCTTGGGAATTCCGTAGGCGGGTCCCAGCAGCAACTGGTTGACGGGATCCTGCGACACGTACAGGAAGTCTCGCAGATAGGCTTTGGGCTTCAGGCCAAGCTGCTTGGCCTTCTCCTCGGTCATGATAATGCAAGCAGAGGCTCCGTCTGTGAGAAAGGAAGCGTTCGCTGCTGTCACAGTGCCGTATGGCTTCACGAAGGCGGGCCTCAGCTTGGCCAGGCTCTCGGGGCTGGACACGCGGATGCCATTGTCCTTGTCCACGATTTGGTCCACGCCGGAAACCTTGAAGGGAACCAGATCGGTGAAGTAGCCCTTCTCCTGGGCCTCCTTGGCCAGTGTGTGGGATCGCAGGGCATACTCGTCCTGCTCGCTGCGGGATACATTGAAGGCGGATGCCAAACGATCGGCCGAGTGTCCCATGGTCTCGCCGGAGGAGAACTCCGCAACGGCGGGCAGTTCGGGGGCCAGGAAGTCTGGCCTGAATGTGGACAGCAGGGCCAACCGCTGGCCCAGGGTCTTGGCCTTGTTGGCTTTCAGGAGTAGGGAGCGCATCTTGCGGGAGTGGCGAATGGGTACATCAGACATGAACTCCACTCCGCCGGCCACGATGACATCGTAGGTATTGGTGGCAATCAGACCCATGCCCGTGGTGATGGCCTGCAAAGCGTGGGCTATATATTCGAACTTTAAGTAACTATTAACGAGGCTCTTACCGCATTGGAACTGATGCAGGCCATGGTGACAGTGTGGGCAGGTGTCTTGTTGCTGAATCCAGCTGCCAAAGCTGCCTCTCTGGCAATATTGGAGGTCTTGACCTCCTGGATAACGCTGCCGTACACGATGTAGTCGATGAGCTCCTTGTCCAGACGGTTCTTTTGCAGCAACGACCTGTTGAATGGAGCGGTATGAGGAAACACTCCAAGGATACTAAGGATAGTAGACCTACAAAAGCGAGTGCCTGGCCAGTTCGTGGGGCATCAGCTTGGAGTAGGTGGTTCCGGAGGTTAGGAAAGGTGTGCGGACGCCATCCACGAGCACAATATTCTGGCCGTTTTTCTGCTTCGGTTGGGGACTCGCCACAGCAGCCGATAAAGTGCGGCATTGAACTGGAAAAGGGGTTCCAGAATGGGGATTATCCTTACCACTCTCGTTTCACTTTATTTTTAATCATGATGTACCCATACATTATCTTTGCCCCGCAAGACGTCACTGCGAACTCGAGTTTGGACTTTGGCCCTTTCGGATTCAATCGGCTGCTGCTGCCACAAATCGTTATGAATTATCAGAGCCAAAGTCCAACCGGTGCAGCCCACGTTTAGGATGGGGTCCATTACAACACCTGCCGTAATAACTCACCTTTCCTGGAGACGTTCAACAGGTTGAAGGAGTTACCCCTGCGGCAGACATTTTGAAGGCTCATCTTGCGAAAGTTTTCGGATTTCTTTTCTCGCTTTTCTCGCTGTTGCGACTGCAGCTGTTTGGCTAGTGATGAACGCCGGATCGCGGTTCGCTATCGACACACACTGTGTGCTATCGGTTATCGAAAGCTAGTGCATGAAAAGCTTTCGAACTGTAAATACCCTTTCACGACAGTTCGCAAATGAAAATATATTTTTTTGTTATATACAAATATATTGTTTTAGCCCAAATGCGTATGCAATCCTTTACTATTCCTAAGCCATTCACCTTCATTCAAATAGGTATATGAAAATCGATCTGAGAGACCCATAAAGGGATAGTTTTCTCCAATGTCCTTGATCTCGATTATCCTATTAAACGTGCTGTTTACGATGTCCATCTGCGCGCCTATTCGTCACCTACAATCTGTATACCCTTTCCCACAATGGAAGACCATTAACCGTGTCCTTGGACCACAATGCCAATGATAACTGTAGCAGGCAACTAGCAGTATGCAAATGGGCGAAAGAAAGGATTGCTTCCAAAGGTCACTCTTGCCGTCCTGTACACATAGTTCCCAATTTCTATTTTTAAACTTCAAATAGATTATAAATAAAATGCACTGTCGTTATGGAACCTTTGTTAGTTCCTCAATGATTTGCATACAAATTCGTTTCGCTGATTGCCAACGAAAGAAATTAGGTTCAAGGACGAATTTAATGGTTTCCCTAAATGCGATAGTAAAGGGTAGGATGCAAATGTAGGCGGCGTGTGCATTTCAAATGAACGATCGTTAAGGACTAACAAAGGATAGATGTAATGAAAGGATGGTGGCTTATTGGGGATCAAGGTGAAATGAAACTTCCTTAATACTTACATATGTACATGCATGTGGTACGCAATGTGAAATGATTTTAAACTACATGCTATTCTAAGTAATAGGAAGTATACATTTCTTTGCATTTTTAATGTGTTCATAGCTGTTGCAAGATGACGTAATTTATGTGCGTAAGTAAATGCGTTAATTATTTGAATATATACGAGTAAGTATATTTTGTAAATTATTGCATTAAAGCTTATGTAAAATATAAGCAAGTGAAACATACACATTCAAATGCCCTTGTGAAAGCTCACATATTGGCGGGAAAAGTCGAAAGCGGCTGATCTGTTGCAAAATAATAGAACGCATGAATTGTGATGTTGAAATATGTTTTTTAATCACAATTTATATATTTGGTCTTAAGATAATTTTTAATACGAAAATAAAGTGGCTGCCAAAGCAACAGGTTGGCACTAAAAAATATCTAAAAGTTTGAATTCACTGTCAGGTGGCGAAAAACTATGCAGGCCCACTGTAACGGTCCGATGTTGTTGTTGTTGCTGCCTGGTTGGCGGCAGAGGCGGCGGCGTCGGCGGCGGCAGAGCAGCAGCAGCGCGGCGCAGCGAAGTTCGCAAAGATCGCACAGTCAAAAAAAAAGGCTCCGAGTGAACGGACGTGCGCGCGCGCAAACTGAAAGTGGGAAGCACAAGCAAAGCAAAAGCAAAGGCAGAAGCTGAAATCGAAAATCAAGAGAGAGGCAAGATCGGTTCATTTTTCCCGCTCGCACTCGCAGTCGCGCTCGCGCCAGAAAAAGTTTTACCAATCAAGTTTTTTATTTCGCAATAAAACAAAAAGAAAAAACAAAACTTCAACCTAGTTAAAGTAATGTTGCCGTTGTAGTTGTAGTTGTGCCGTTGTAGTGAACTTTAGTGAGTGTGTGTTTGTGTGAGCATTGCCAGTGTGTTGGTGGATATTTCTTGCGTCGCATAAGAAGAAGAGGAAGAGAAAGAGGCAGCAGGAAAAGCCAAAAAGAGAAATTTAAAAATCTGCGAAATTCTGTGAAATTGGCTCCAAAAAATATAAACAAACCATGGTCAATGAAATCGAAAGTTTCCAGTGAGCAGCCTGCAGTAAATGGCCGATCGCAGGGATTAGGCGATCAGAACAGAAAGTGCTCGAGTGAATGAAACTATATTCATACTGGGATTAACCAACTGCTGAACAACCAACTTAATGAAAGAGGTGAGTCCGCCGTTCGGCAGCAAGCTTTTCCGAGGTTTGAGATTTTCATCATCTTTGGGCATTGCAACATCGCTGAGATAAAAGTCGGGGTTTTGGGTCTGCGATACGTGTGTGTGGCTCTTTGTGCACCTAAGCACACAAAGCAGCCAAGGTCAGAAACTAACTTAATAGTGGTAGAGAAAACAGAAAAGCAGAAAACTGAAAACATTCCAAGCTCGGTTTGGATCGCATCGTATGGTATCGTATCCAAAACTTTGCCTCGAAGCTTCGGTTCGTGGCGATCCAATCTTCGTCGTCATGAACATCATTAGCACTGCAACAACAACTGAACCCAGCGAAACAACAACAACTGGAGACAAGAAAGGCTTAGTGACCTTCATCGCGTGCTTTTGTCTGCGTTATACTGCCCGTGTATTGGTGCGATCGTATGCATGTCATGGAATTTGAAGACACATATCCACGTACATACATACGTACATTGGCGCACGCACTCGACCAACTTAACTGCTTTCCAATAAGAGTGAAGGTGAAAAAGCACACACACACGAAGCCACACACTCGCACACGCATAGGGTTACACGATCGCGCAGATGTTACAAAATATGCTGTTAGCAAACCCAGGGGCGTAGGTTTTCCAGCGGGAGGGGTTTCAGTCCAAAGGCGCGTGGGTGGGGGAAAACTTTGAAAGGCTGTTGTGAGGAGATCTTTGATTTCCCCGTTTAGTACGCCTTATCTGTCATATATTTTAAAACGTAGATCCGTTGACAGCGTCCACGAAACTAGCGCATTGTAAACCCCTTACGAGCCCATTTCCTATCTTTCTCCGTATCGCCCAGCTTATGGAGTTATGCAATTCAAATTTGGGTCACTTTTACGAGTGTAGCATTTACAACAAGTACGAAAGACGAAGACGAAGACGGCGACTCTTTGCCATTTTCCCTCGCTTCTTTTCGGATCAGCAAGCCAGAGCTTTTGTGAAAGGGGGCAGGGCAGGGACAGCGCGGGAGAGAGCGGGAAAGGAGGAGAATGCGAATGCGTTGGAGCGACAGAGAGGGCAGGAAAACGAGTTTGAATGCGCGCTCCGCTCC